TCATAAAGGCTTAGTCATGTCTCTTGACCAAGCAATGAGCTGGTGCCCTGACAGACTCCTACTGCAAATGCTTGTGCTAGTGCCTCAATTTTGGGAATTGAGCACTCTTCCTCCTGTCCAGACAACTCCTGCCCTTCCACACCTAATCTGTTTGCCCCCCCTCTCATATCCAGACCCAAATGCTTGCCTCCCTTTCCCTCAGAAAGATCTGGTGGTCCACATCCAGACAAAACCTGTGCTCTCCAGACTGGCACACCTTGTACATGGGATCCAGAGTATCCCAGCAGCTGCATGATATCACAAAGTCACTTGAGAACATGTGCATCAATGGCTGCCCTGGCATTACATCTGGAGTGCATCTCTGCCACAAGGGCAGCATCTCCAGACAGTGCAATATTGTCAATGTACATACACATATCATGAAGTTCATCTTCCAGAGTGGTCAGGACTTGTTGCACTTCCATGTCCAATCTTCGGATTTCTTCTCTTGCACACTTCAGGAGAAGAAACTTCATGACCACTTCTCAATATTGGGGGAGCATCCATCACCTGGAAACATTGTCCGGAGCCATCCCATGCCATAAGATTGTGAATTCTCCAAGGAAAGCATGATCCAGAATGGCAGACATTGTGAGTTGTGGTTGGGAAGGCGAGACAGAAGATGCCAGATGATTGTAGTCTGCTAGAGCATTCTGGATGGCCAAGCTCCTCAATTGCAGTGCTTTCATGATTGAAGTGCACATTTTGTAATCTGGTAAAGATCAGATTGATTAGCTAGTCTGGAAATAACACTTACTGGTACCATGAGCATTCATTTTTTCAATTTTGAAGAGCCTTTGTATGACAAGAGTCTCCAGACAATCCAGAGCCCACTGGAATTCTTGACTTTCTGCTGCCTGAGAATAATGCAGCCAACATGGATGTTCCAGAATCCATCAATCAGTATTCAGTGCAGTCTCCAGATTGGTCACTAACCCCTCCAGATCCAGCACTTTGCAAAGTTTCCGAAAGTGTTGGTGTTCATTTGCTCTGCCCTCACTCTGGATACTGGCTTGACTCCATTGGTCTGGAGTCAAAACAATGAACATTTTGGCTTGACTTGCTGCAAGCTCCTCTCTGCCATGTCTCATTATCATCATGAGATCTCTGGAAATGAATCTTCATACTGTGCAGTGTCCAGCAACTGAAGTACTTCTAGATACTCAAACACCTTCTTGTTGCTGGGTGGTTCCCTCTGGAGATTGTTAAAAAGGTTTCACTCATCCTGGCAAAACTGCTCCAGATCATCTGAGGTAAGATGGTGAGTCTTGAGGAAGGACAATATGGCTGGTCCTTCTGTCTGGAGGATTTTCACTGCCTGTTGGTAGTTCTGGTACAGATATTCACCTGTATATCAAGTCAGCAGTACCACACATTCTGGTCCAGAAATTACTCACCCAGGGCAGCATGGTGATCCAAATCCCATGTCTGGTAAAACCAATCTAGAGTCATATGATGATGAAATGCAGATCCATGCCGGAATAGGTGGGCACAGCAATTCTCTTGACTGAACACCCACTCACAGGTCTCAAAATCTTTGAGACCAGCAATAGTCAGTACTTGTGGGTGGAAATGAATCTGGCACCAGTGGTTATGGGCATATCCATGGAATGCCCCTACAAAAAACCTAAGTCCAGATGCAGCAGCTTTGTTGCCAATGCTGCTCTGGAAAACAGTGATCAAGTTTGTGCAGCCAATATCATAACCAAATCCAATGTCTTGACTGCAAGCATCAAGTAGCTGGGCCAGAGAGGCAATTGAGTATTTGGCTCTGGAAAGAGTATTAATTTGATTGGGCTGTCATCAGGAGTAAGACTTACAGTTCTCCACTCCGGACTTATCAACAGAGTAACAGATAAAGGCATGCTGGCAAACAGTCAGGAAATGACCAGTCTTGGCGAGGGCTTGCTGGAAAATTTGTCCAGATTTGTGTGCTTGCAAAGATTTCCATTTCTCTGTGCAGGCTCCTAATGTTTTATCTAGACCAATGTGTGCTCCTTCCTCAGGATGAAGGCCATCAGTGGGATCACCTCTTGATGGGTCTTTCCCCTGTGTTGAGAGTCTCCCCAGTGTCAGACATCATTCTTGAAATAGTCCACTTCTTCTATCAGGAGTATGTAGTCACTATTATAAACTCGAAGATCTTGATGGCCAGCATAAGCAAACCTCTTGCTGGAATTGTTGCTGTCACTGCAGAGGAGTTGGGAGAGAGGGAGACTGGGCTCATCTTAAAGCTTGACTCAGAGCTCATGAGATTTCATTTGTTCTCTCAATGTCAAGAGCATACCTTGTATGTACAAGCTGGACAGGTGTGCTTTACATGCCAATCCATAGAATCTTGACCAAAGACTTTTGACACCCTTTTCTTGAGAGCCATGAGGAGGAGGGCATATGCATCATATGCATCTGCAAATCTCCTCTGGAGAGAAGGGTCATATGGTGTCTGGTTCTATTGTCAGGACCAATCCACTGTTGACTTAAATGGGAAGACAACCTTACCCCATGAAGATCACAGAGCACATGTGACCATGCCTCCAGAGACATGTATCCACATAACCACACTCTATGGTAAACCTCCAAGATCTGGATGTTGACTGCCATTCATGGGACCTCTGGGCTGCATGCAAGAAAACCATGCCTCAAGAGAACACAGACAGGGCTTGTGTGCTGATCAAGAGCTCCAAAACTTGTCTCTCCAGACCATTCCAGGTGACAATTTGCAGTTCAAACATTCACCTTGAATCCAGAGGGTTATGTTCAGCAAGAAATTCCTGTCCTTGCATCCGCCAGTTCAGGAGATTGTCCATGAGGTCATCCATCAAAGACCATGCCATGGCCTGTTGGAGGATTTGTCTTGCATATGACCCTTCTCCAGAGCAATATGATTGTCTCCTGGGTCCCAAGTTAGTACACAAATGGCTCTGATCCAGCACAGATGGAAGTGGCATATGTGACCTCCACCCACTCCTGATACAATGTCTCCTCTTGCTCTTCTTCCTCTCCCATCTCAACATCTTCCCATTGGCCTTCTCCAGAATCCTCTACATATGTTGTTTCAAGCTGATCTTGAACAAACCAAATCACTGCTGCTTCCTCTGGATCTGTTGCAAGGTGTTCCTCTTCCTGAGCTTGTATCTGTATAGACCTCCAGTCCAGAGCTGCTATGGAGTATACATCCCGCCTTCTGTGTCCAATTCGAATGAGGGGAGCATCCAGAATGGGTTGTTGCAGTAGCTCCTTGAGGCTGAGTGCATGCTGTCCATGCTGGCTTTTGAGGTGTGACTGGGCCACACTGATCTGGATGGGTGCTGCCATCTGTCTTCTTCCTGAACCTCATTGGATGGGTCTGGATATGAGATTGACCCCCCATCAAGTGACTCTGGTTGCTGGTCTCAGTCATGAACTTTGCCCAGGCCCAGAAGAGAGGAGCTCATCAAGATTGTGAGGGGGACAACTGGAGAATGCTCCAGATGTAGATGCCATTTGTCAGGAGAGGGATGTGTGGTTACCAGGTATGACCTGATCATCACCTTTGTTTTTCTTGGCAGGGTCTATTATTGGGTCAGGATCAAAGAAGTCAATTAACCAGCTACTTTAGCTGGATTTACTCTGGATGGCACAACTCTGGCAGGATCCTCAAATAAGAGCCTCTGGCACATGTCGTCCTGACCACATATTACTAGTAGAGTCTAGGGACAGGAGAAAGCAGTGCCCAGTCCAGTCCACTAAATGCTGACATAATTCTATTCAATAGTCAATGTGGGGTCATGGCATTGAGCGGGAGGAAGCACACGCGAGATTCATCATGCACCTGAAACGGCATGCCAGTCAGTCAGATGATATGCCGACCTCTTCCAACACCATGACATGACCGGTCACCATCCCTGCAACGCCAAAACTGTCAAACTCTGCACCCAATTGCATGGCGAAATGGTGGCTGCGTGGGACCGGACTGGACCGGTCCTTCGCGGTTCAGGACTGAACCGGATTTTCCAAAAGTGTTGGTCCTGGTCCAGTCCTCGGACGGTCCAGTCCTGGACTGGATCGGCAGGACCGCGGTCCTCAAAGTCCGGTCTAGGACCGATGCCATCCCTATCATAAATTGCAGCCAAAATTCGAGTTTGTGACGATACTGCCGGATGCAAACTTTGGCCCAATCTTGGTGAGTGTTCAGCCCAGAAGTTTGTTACATGCTTTAAGGCTCTGATCAGTGCGGTGACCCTCACTCAACTGGCTCTTGGGTTGTCAATCTCATGAAAGGCGAGGACAAGGATGCGAAGGTGGTCCCGAACCGTATGTTCCTCTCTCTCAATCCCAAATCCCCGCTTCCCTACTAACGATTGCTAGAATGGTACATCGACATACGGGACGATGCCCGTCTGCACATCTTCGGCCTATCCAAGCCCGAGCTGGCCGACCAGAGGATCTGGGCCGCCGCCGGTCCGTTTGGGTGGAACGACCTCATCCGCATCCTTAAGAAACACTATCCGGACGCCAACATTCCGGACGAAAACCCGAAGTGGGTCACGAGCCCTCTGAAGGTCGATTCGGAGGTTGGGAGGAAGTTGCTGGGAGGGTGGACGAGCTTGGAGCAGTGTGTGGTCGATACGGCGAAGAGTGTTGGTTATTTGGCCATCAGTGAATGAAGAAACACATTTTCCTGTATACTTTGAAGGACATGCATGAAAGGACCATCCCAAAAGTCCAATCAAGAAGTCTTAGAGGAGTCTCGCCTGAGAGTGGTCAAGGATTTCAGTTATTGCTTTATACTAATTTGGATCGTAAAGTCCTCACTATGGATATCTATCGGTTGTGTGGCGCAATCGGTTAGCGCGTCGAGCTAATAACAGCTGTTCGGCCACAAGCAAGTGTCGTCCAATACTAATGTTACTCGAAGGTTGCCGGTTCAATCCCGGTCATAACCATCATATTTTTGGTGTTATGAAATCTTTCATTTTGATCATCCTTCGAAGCTGTTGCTGCACTATTTCACTCGAAATGGTGACCGCGTAGAAGCGCCTTGACTCTAGTTATACGTTCTCCCATTCATATCACCTGAACAGCAAGAGTCGTGCGCGACTTACACGATCGGCTTGACTTCCTTCCGGCTTTCTTCTACATTCAAACTGCAATAGTGGGGCAATCCGAGGAGGCGGAAAATATGAATTCGTATATCTTAATTATAACTGTTACAGCGATAACCTGCGTATTCAGTCCGAGAGCTCATCCGTCTCCCATTCCTCCGCCGTCGTCTCCTCTTCTCCTACAGTCTCTTCCCGCGCACCAGTGGGCCTCCGACTACTGCTAGGAAAGCCATGCGGGATATACGCATTCGGAAAAGGCGGGCGCTGGCGTAATATCGGCAAGTCGAGTGATTGTTCTGCATACCGCCGGCCGATCCACCATACGAGGTTGAGGAGGTACAGCATCATCAATAGGATCTCGATTCTGAACTTTGCCTGGTAGGTCTCAGTAGCAGTGCGGGAGAGTGCAAGAGGGGCGTACGTCGAGGCTTAGGTCGGGAGTACCGACTGTCTGAGGAGGATGTAAGTTGAGGCCTGCTTTGAAGAGACGGAGCGTACCGCGGCGTTGCTGGCAATATCAGCGTCATCACTGTCCTTTTCTTTCTCCCTACCTCCTTCACCAGCGCCTTCACCGCAACCCTCCATATCATGGTCCTCACCGGCTTTGAGAACAGATTCCGCGCCCTGTACTCTCCTCAGCGTAGTAAGGAATGAAGCGCCGTACGTACCTCCTGCTGCGGGGGGGACGCCCTGCTTATAGGCTCTGACGATTCCCCTTTGCCCGTGGTGTCCGACATGCCACTCGTATTGGTCGAGAAGTAAAAACCTGACTGTTTCGATAGGCAGAAGCAGCACAGAAGAGCAGAAGAGCAGTTGCAAGGTTTCGTGCAAAAACGCGCATCCGTTCATCAGGCGTATTTCGTCACAGGATATAAGGGGTAAACCAAGTTCTGAAGAGGGGAAATTCCATTCTGTCGGCGCAAGCGAAATACGGAAGTTGAAGAATGTTACCGTCGATGTTCAGGATTTGCAACATGCGTGCTCATGTCGCTTCCTGTACCTGCAATGCTTGTCCGTATATGGGAATTTATCTCACGGTCTGCACCTTCCAAAATGCCGCCATACTTATTCGACCTTCGGTCTTTTCAGTCGTCGTCCCCATCCCAATCTCATCACCCGGGTCACTCGGCATTGGGATCAAAGTGCGCACCCGAGAGTTTCACACTCGTCGATCGAAGGTTGGAATGGGATTAAAATCGAGTTTATAGAGGCTTGAGAGGGGGGAGGGGGGACTAATGAGATGCGGAGGGAGACAGAAGCGGGGGGCCGAAAGCTCCAGGAGAAGGAGCAATCCAGAGGATCACAGTAGGACAATGTGCCATGATAGATAAGGTGGAGTAAGACCCATAGGCAACAGAGCACTCGACCTAGTGATGTAAGCGAGCAACCCCCAAAGAAACAGCTGCTACGATAGCTAGAGCATGTCCAGATCAATATCGATCCTTGCCAGCACGGCATAACACATACAAGAGCATCGATCCGCCTTCTGCCTCGAGAGATATCGTTGTCGTTGTCTGGAGTGTTCCTTCTTCAGTTGGAGGTTGTTCGTCGCTCATGCTACGGATCCGCAGCGCTCGAGGACGATCAGCACTCCGCACTCCGCAGGTAGACGCGCTCCACTGAATCCGCAATCCGTACACAAGAGGTGCACAACAGCTGAAAAGAGCTCCTTCTGACGTGGCAACAAATAGTACTTTGGATGATATAGTATCGACCAGAGAATGCCGTCGAGTGGATATCTTGCTGTATCTGGCAGGAATCCATGACAATGCTGATCTCTGACCAATACCATTCCAGGATCATTTTCTCGCAGTTGCGATTCCTAGTCCTGATTAGTTACTTAGTTCAGCTACAGAATATCCGCAGTAATTCTTGCCACATCGTTACAGTTGTAGTCTCCACCTCTCTCGCGGGTGGTTCCCTCCGCGTCCACCTCCCCAACCCATCAAGTGGCAGTGCCACATGACCGCACTTCCCTTTTAGGAAGATCATCCGCAAAACTGCGCTTATTCATCCGGATATGTCCTCCGTGCGGGGAAGGGTTATAAGCCCTCATTCTGTGTGGGGTCGGTCCTTCATCCCCCCGCACACGTCGAGCCCTGCTATCATCCAGGGCCATCAGCCAGCAACCTAATCTCCAATCTTCAATCTCCAGCAATATCAATCACCAATGTCACTCCCTTTCGCACTAGCAAAGGCGCTCCTAGGCGGTACGTCCCTCCACTCACCACAAGTGTCGATTGATTGACTGACAAACGATACAGGAGCAAGCGGGTTCATCGCCCTCCGTGCAGTCTCGAACCAGCTCGCACGAGAGACTGTACAGCGTAGTGCGCAGCATGTACAGCGTGGAGCGACGCACGCTACTGAGCGTGTGCATCCGCTCAATTTGGCGAGGGACGAGAACGAGCTTATGATCATGAGCGATATGGTCGGGTGGAGGACGTGAACCTCTGTGCGTGAGTGGGGGTCGGGGTTGGGGTTCGAGAGCATTTGGAAGCTCTGGACGAGGATGAGAGGGTCGAGAACGGACTGACTCGCAAGGGGACAGTTTGGCATCATCATAGGCCGGGCCTTGGAGCAAGAACATCATTGTACGCATCTCATTGGGTGTCTGTAATCTGTCAATAACCATGTACACTACGAATACCAACAATTGTATCATCTCTGCTCACCTGCCTTGCCACATCAGTGAGAGCACTAGGGGATGATTCCCTCCTTTCTGAGTCGCTCTACCTCCTCCTCCCAGTTCCACCGCGGCTCATACCCTAGCACCCTTCTGGCTTTCTCGATACTCAGCAGCGTCTGGTTCTCTCCTCTCCCCGCTACCGGTTCATACGGTACACCCGGGTAGAGCGTGCGCACGAGCTCGGAAGAAGGGGTGCACATGCATGTCGTTGAGGAGGTGATTAGGAAGATGTGATGACCTTTGAGAGAGGAGAGGGCGAGGCGGATCGCTTGTGCTCCACTGCGTCTATCAGCAACCCACATACAAGAAGGGAAGGGAGGAGACGTACTCTCTTGCGTCGACGTGACTCCAGCAACTAATGAGCGTCAGTATTAATACTGCAATCGAAGTAGGAACTCGTACTTCCCCTCTGGGAACGCCCTTGGATCCCCCTGCCAGCTAGGGAATTCCGCATACTCCTCCGGTGCACATATCTACCCCAGAGTACATCAGCCCATATCTGCGGCACCCACTTCTCACATACCAGGGAGAACCTCAAACTGCACACGCTGAGGAGCGGGTCCCACCGCGCGTACTGTTCTGCCATCACCTCCCCCACCAGCTTCCCGAGCGAATACGCGCTCTCCGGTCTCCTCTCGCTCTCTTCCGTGAACGGCAAGCTCTCCGGCGGATGAGGATCGAGTGGAAGACCGAGGAGCGTCTCGCTCGACGCTAGCACTAATTTCTTGATCCCTGCTTGGCGTGTCGCTTCGAGGACATGATATGTCGAGAGGGTGTTGTTCTTGAACTGGTGAGAGGAGGCGGCCTGCCCGATCACAGGAAGGGCGGCAAGGTGCACGACAGCGTCGAGTCCTTTATATTGCTTTTCGGCAGATATGAATGAGGAGTTCTTCGAGGAAATGAGATAACACACCGAATCTACCTCTCGGAACGTCTCTGCCACCTGCCCAAAATCCGACATCTCCAGCTGGACGTACTTCACCCCTTCTACCCGCTCCCCCTCCTGTGGTAGGCGACGGTCGAGCACTACGACCTCCCAGCCGTGTTGGAGAAGCTCGAGCGTTGTTGGCTGGCGGAGCTTGCCTAGGCTGCCGGTGATCGCTACCCGTGGTTTGGACCGAGGGAGGGGTGGCTCGCCTAGAGCGTGCAGGGCGGTGAAAGAGGCTGCCATGGCTCGGTATTTCGTAGATGAGCAAGAGAGATATGGATGGATGCTGCTCTATGGAGTAGGGTTATCTGCGCTGTGTGCTGGCAGGAGAGCATGAGGTCACACGAGGGCGCTTGACATTGAGAAGAACTGTGTCGAATGGACTTTCATCGGTATGATGAGAATGCGAGTTGAGCATGCAACTGCTACCTCCATTCAGGTATTATCCTAGAAGCGGCAATGTAGCTTGACAACGTTGTTCGTATTAATCAAGCAAGCCGTGAATTCGATGTTGGTGGTTTGTAAGACTGTTGCAATATGGGGAAAAGTTCAGGGACTTTGAATCGCGTCATTATGCCTTCGACTCACCTGACTCGCTTGCACAAACATCAATGCAATGTCCCATTACCAATAAGCCCTCCTTTCAAACTGCCACCAACAATGCCAGTCGCCGTAGAACAGCCTTTCAGCGAGATCCCGACTCTCGACTGGTCCCTCATCAGCTCCCAAAGCCCGGCTGACCTCGAACGATTCCTAGCCGACCTCCGGCACGCCCTCGTGAACGTGGGATTCATGTACCTCTCTCATTCGCCTGTCCCCCAGCCCTTGGTGGACGAGCTCATAGACTATATCCCCCAGCTGTTCGCCCTCCCACTAGAAGAGAAGAAAAAGATAAGCATGCTCAACTCGCCGCATTTCCTCGGATACAGCGTGCAGGGCGCAGAGTTCACCAAAGGGGCGAGGGATAATCGCGAGCAGTTCGATTTCGCTACGGCGTACGTCTGCCCGTGGAAGGAGGGCGACCCGGACTGGCAGAGACTGTGGGGTGCGCCTCAAGTGCGTTCTTGTGTCTCCCTTCCCGAACCTGCGCTGATCATCCCCAGTACCCGCCCGACTCGGTCCTCCCAGGATTTCGCAAGACAGTGCTGTCCTACCTCTCGCACCTGCAGAAACTCAGCATGGACTTCATCCGCCTTATGGAACTTGCGCTGCTTATCCCTCCCGGCCAGCTTACCCAGTTTTACGACACAGACGAGCACATGCAGCATCGATCCAAAGTCGTCAAGTACCCTTCGGCGGAGTTCTTGAGGTCTGAGGATGGGGATCAGGGCGTGGGGCCGCACTATGATGCTGGGTTTTTTACTTTTGTGCGTGTGCTCACATGCATTCGTTGTCCTCGCTGACCCTGTGCAGTTACTGCAAGCCTCTCCTCAGCCCGGGTTGCAAGTCCAGAATCGCGCTGGGCAGTGGATCCCCGCTCCGCCCGTGCCAGGGACGTTCGTGGTCAATATTGGCAAAGCGCTCGAGACTGTCACGCAGAAAGTGGCGATCGCGACCACGCACAGGGTTGTGAGTCCGGCCAAGGGGGAGGGGGCGAGATATAGCGTGCCGTTCTTTCAGAGTATCGCGCTAAGCGCTCGGGTCGGAGGGGCGAAGATACAAAGTATGTCTGTGGGCTGCGAGTCGGAGGAAAACCTGACGGCGCGCAGTACCAAAGGAGATATTGGACCTCAAGAGAGCAAGAGGAGATGAGGTCGTTACAGACTCTGTGAACTTCTCGGAGTACGAACGGGAGGTGTCGGGTCATGTCCAGCTCATCGGGCGTATAAAGTGCGTCTGTGTTGCGAGCTCATTGTGGGGATGCTGACTGTGTGCCTAGGAGCCATCCAGATGTCGGCCAGAAGTGGTACCCGCACATGTACGCGGAGATCTTCCCACACGGGGCGCCGGCTTTCGGGAGTGTGTACTGAGGGCTCGAGCCTCTGCGGGGATCTAGAAAGAGGTAGTTCCTAATAAGATGAAATAAAGCACAAGTGTACCAATACAGCATCCCCTCTTTCTTTCTCGTTATGCTACTGCATCCCACAGACCGGTCAGACCCGCTCAGGACTCGTCCGTCGCTGCGACGTGTTCGTATGTCCCTCGTCGGTTCGCAGTCATTGGTATGATTCCCGATTCTCTCACATTGTTCATACTCGGCAACCTCAATGCCTGCAAACCAATATCAGTCCCAAAAATCACCTCAGAGAGGGGAGACACACCTCCCACCACTTGCGCGACGCTTCCCATGCGTCGGCAGGATCTATACCGACTTCCATCATCTTCCCTCTTGCGGCTGCGCCAATGAGCAGACCAACAATGATGAGGATGAAGAGTGTGACAGTGAGCTGATCTCTTGGGGAGTCTCTTTCTGTTCATTCCCCAACAGGTCGCGAAACGCCCCGCATATATGAGCTGCAGATTACCCATTATAGAGAAAGACGCACGAAAACACCGAACATCGACATCCCCCTCCTTGCCAGTTGCCGTATCAGGATTCGCATCCCCCAGCATCGCCTCTCTACAGATAGAGAGCTTCTGGTCCAAACACCACTGTTTTGTACAACTCAGGCAGGGCTTGGTCGGGTCCTCGGGGAGGAGAAGTGGGAGGATGGTATAGTTGTTGAAGCATATGCATTTGCAGAAGTGGATCGGTTGCCAGTTACCTTGGAAGATGGAGGCGTTGGCCTAGAGCTATTTAGGCTGCGATTTCTATATCTGAAATAATAGACGCACTAGTGGTAGTAAAAGAGATAGTTGAAGTAGTAGTATTGGAAGTATACTTTGTAGCTTCATGATAGTCAAGAGTCAAGATTGTAATGAAACTGTTCAATTCTGTGGACCCTTTCAGTCACCGCCAACAACGCGTCCTCGTCGCCTTCATTCGTGCCCACCGCGTGCTGCTTGATACCCCCATCTTGAGATACTCTTCATCGTCTTCCAAGAGCAAGAGATGGCGACAGAGTTCGAGGACGTGCTCACAAACCAGCCTGTGGTCATCGACAATGTACGTCTACTCTATTGGATGGTGGAATGCGACACGTGCTTACAGGCATGCAGGGCTCAGGCACTATAAAAGCCGGATTTGCAGGGGACGATCATCCAAAATGTTATTTTCCCTCCTTGTATGTCCCATATATACCGATGCAGAGTAATGCTGAAAGAGATGTACAGCGTTGGCCGACCAAAATATACACGAGTCCTCGCTGGTGCTATAGAGGGCGACACGTTCATCGGGCGCAAAGCGCAAGAAGTGCGTGGGCTGCTCAAGATCGCTTACCCGATGGAGCACGGGATCGTACAGAACTGGGAGGACATGGAGAAGATCTGGAGTCATGTGTACTCTGAAGAGCTGAGTACGCTGAGTGAGGAGGTATGCTGGTGACAACTTGGTATATACGCGCGATACTGATATTGTTGTCATTTAGCATCCCGTGCTGCTCACAGAAGCACCTCTAAATCCGAGAAGGAATCGGGAGATCGCTGCACAGATCTTCTTCGAGACGTTCAACGTGCCCGCTTTCTTCACCTCCGTGCAAGCCGTGCTCGCGCTCTACGCGTCTGGGCGCACGACAGGGATCGTACTCGACAGCGGGGATGGAGTGACGCATGTCGTTCCTGTATTCGAGGGATTTAGCATGCCTCACGCTATCCAGCGCGTGGATATCGCAGGGAGGGACGTGACGGAGTACCTGCAGGTGCTGCTCCGGAAAAGTGGACACTACCTGCACACGACGGCGGAGGTAGAGGTCGTCAGACAGATCAAGGAGAGGTGCTGTTATGTCGCGCTGAACCCGGCAAAGGAGGAGAAAGAACAGCAGGGGAAACAGGAGGAATTCAAGCTTCCGGATGGAAATGCGATCATGGTATAGATGTTTCGCCTTCGGAGAGCAGAGCATTTACTTACGCACTTTGTACGTCAGCTGGGCAGCGAGCGTTTCCGAGCACCGGAGATCTTGTTCAACCCTGAGCTCATCGGGCAAGAATACGACGGTGTCCATCAAGTAGTGGTCAACAGTATCCAACGAGTCGATCTCGATCTGCGCAAGGCGCTGTACAGCAACATCGTCCTCTCCGGCGGGTCTACACTTTGCCGCGGGTTTGGCGACAGGTTGCTGAACGAAGTGCGAAAGAATACGATCAAGGATATGAAGATCAAGATCTTTGCTCCGCCCGAGAGGAAGTACAGCACCTGGATCGGGGGGAGTATCTTAGCCGGGCTGAATACCTTCAGGAAGGTGAGCAGCGTCTGTATTTACTCTCCGTGTCGCACCACGTTGGTCGGTACGGGTCGTGCTGCTTATGCCACCCCCACCTCTGCCCAAAGGTCCACGTCGATCTATGCTTGCTGACTGACACTTTCCCAGATGTGGGTTAGCGCCGAGGAATACCGCGAGGATCCAGAGCTTATCCATTCGAAAGCCGGCGGGCTATAGCCGCGGGCACCAGGTCTCCGCACGCACACACTGGCGGGACCATTGGGACGGCGCTTTATCTCTCGCGGTATGTTGGTGTGGTTGGGAAGGGAAAGCTGTCGGCGATCGGCGGCGGCGAGACCTTCCCGGGGCGGGGTGTATACATGAGAAAGGGCGGGGGAGCGCCATGAGGCGGGATCGGGCCTATCGGGCAGTTACCATTGTCCTCCACACAGACCGGGACACTCAGCAAGGTACAAGGGCCATTGTGGGTCGAACACATACATACCTTATTTGCAGCATTGTAATTTTTGTAATGGCTCATTCACTGTTTTGTGCTCGTTACTGGCACCGGAGGACGGTCAGGGTCGGCCTGGGATTGGGTGTTGCTGTTGATGTGCGTCGGGATCGACTCGCGAGATTGGTTATACAGTGCGTGTATCCATTGTTCACTCTCCGAGGAGAGGTCATGTACAGTAGTGGTGGTGGTGAGGCGATGCATTGTTAACTGTTCAATGATATTATCCTCGTTTCGATCTCAATACGTTTCATCTCCTTGACCAACGTGCCGAGACGAAGCTGTGCCGTTCATCCGTAAAATCGAACACCCTTTCTTTCGAGCGAGTCGAAACGCGGTCAGCGAGCACAGGAAGGGTTTGCAACGTGCACGTCGAGAGGATGTACAATGAGCACAGACAATGGCCAAAAGTGGGCAACAGTCAGCTTGGCCAATTCAGATATGCCGTGCGCCGTAACGCGTTTCGATCGTGATCCGTTTTCTGTTTCGTTTTCCTTGCGCTTTTGTGCTTTTTTACGGGTGGTAACGCGAAGCGTAGACGTCGTGCGCACTTTTTATTGTAGTCTTTGGGGAAGAGAGGAAGCACCAGGTTCTGTGGCAGCAATCAAGATAGTAAAATATGAGTGAATAGGTGATGAAAAAGCTGGAGAAAAAGAGCGGCTTCTGCATGTAAAGTGGGCGCTTCCGTGAGACGACGAGCGGCGCTTCCTCCGTTTCGGCCGGTTGAATCATCTGGACCCTGTTGGCTTCTTGTGGATGAAACTCAAACGATGACCCGTGGGCATGAGCATTCCTCCGCTCACCGTCGATGGCACTTTACTCATCGAAATTAGCCCTGGATGCACTTTAATCACGGACATTCTAGTAGAGAGGAGCTCTGATTGGAAGAGATGGAAACTGGAATGCACATGGGCCATAACGTCCCTGCCGAATTCGGAAAGAGGTAATCAACATGAACCTTGTATGAGGCGCGGCAAGTAATACGTCCTGGTCTTTATCACTCTTCCCATCTTCAAATCACGGGAAAGGGAGCATGCCGTCAAAGTCAAAAGAATTGGTCGCTCTGGCACTGCCTGGTCGAAAGCGGAGAGCGAAGCACCCGTGCATACGTTATCTGACGCACATCTCAATGAACTTTCTTTCCTCTGGGCCGGGCATTCCTACATAAAAGGCTGCAAGGATCGACGTGTATGCTGCAAACCCCCCTCTGGTGCAGCACAGGCTGAGATGGACGCACTCCCTTCCCTCCCCCTCATGCAGGCTATCCCCGCCCTGCTTGGCCTCCCCCTCCTTCCCCTCTCCTTCACCTTCCTTGGGCTTGCCCTTCTCTACCCACGGACAGCTCTCACTACTGAGCAGCGGTTCTCTATCCTCCTCCCAGCAGAGGAGAAGGAGAGGGTTACCGTACCTCCTTCGGGAATCAGGCCGGGTAGCCACACGAGCAGGCACACAACCGTGCCCTCAACCATCGGGACAGGGTTCGGCAGTGCCGGGCTGGCAATCGTCCTCCCCGCTGTGACCGCCGCCCTCGCCTTCGGTGCAGGGGCTGTGTGTCAGCTTGCTGTTATCGCCAGGCAAAAGGAGGGGGGCAATGGATTGGTCCGCTCTGCGGGCCTCCTGAACACCCTGGGAGTCTTCTTCGGTAAGTCTCCGTTCAAGCGCAGGAAAAACACAGCTCACGTACTCGCAGCCGGTCTCGCTCCGATCGTCCTTCTCACCCGGGGCTCACTGAACCACGTCTTCCCCACTTGTGCGACTCTCCAGCCTCTGCAGCGCGCCTCCCTTCATTTGCGCACTGTTGAGCCCTACACGAGGCAGAAGCGCTCCTCCTACCGCATTGGTCTTTTGACCATCACGCTCTTCGTCGCCTGCCTCTACACACTCCTCACCACCGTCCTCGCGCCCACCCTGCCCATCCCCACATCCGCACTCGCCCTCGGCCCGGGGATCGAGTCCGTCGTACTGCTCTTCCCCCTCCCTTCGATCCTACACCTCTCTCCACACCGGCCGGTGCTCGTCCTCCTCCTGCTCGCCCATTTCTTTGGGCTCGTCTCCCGCGCTTCCCCCCTCGCGCTCACCTTTGAGCCGTCAGGCACGATGCTCGCTGCAGCCCTCCAGATCGCCGGCTCCGCATGTACGCTCCTTTGGGCTTCCCTACTTCTCCTATGCACAAGCGTGCTCGCCGCCACCCCCCAGCGCCCGGCCGGACCCGTCCCCGGTCTCTACCCAACAGCAGGAACCCACCTCGCTCACCTCCAGGCCTCGCTCGACCGCGCCGCAACCCCACTGGGCATCCCCGTCCCTCTCCGCCCTTCCTCCCCCAGGCCCAGCACACGCGCGAGCGTGATCGACATCTCCGCCCAGTCCCGCGCGTCATTTGAGACGCTCTCCTCCCAAGGACCGAAGGACGCCGACCTTCCCGGATACACATCTGACCCCGCGCCGGCAGAGCTAAACGACCCCACCGCATTGCTGACCGCTGCTCTCCTACGCACCCTGGAGGCAACTCCAAGCCAAGCGAGTGCATATGAGAGCGTCCGCTCCACACTCCCGCAAGATTTCACCCTCACGCTCCAAGGCTCTCCCCTCCAGTACCGGACATCTTTCCTCCCCAGCCTCTCCTCCTCCCAACAGCAGACCCCCTCCCGCCCTCGTACAGCCGGCAGCGCGGTCCAAAGCCTGAGACGCACTATCTCCCGACTGGTAGGCACCAGCCCGTCTAGGCCACACACTGCTCCCCACCCTACCGCATCAGCAGACCCGGACTGCTCCAGCGTGCCAAACTCGCGGCTTACCCCTCCGCAGACATTTGGGTTCTCTGCTCCTGCTACGCTGGAGGCGGGGGAAGGGAACTGGCTGGAAGAGCTGGACGCTAGCCCGACGGCAAGACTTGGCCGCCGGGAGGAGAAGAAAGCTGGCGTGAGGGTCGAGGTGGAGACCGAGACTGAGAGCGAGGAGTGAACTTTTGTTCCTCTCTACACTAGGCTTAAACACGTGGAATCGTATTGATGATCTACGCCCTGGATTGGCACTACACTACTCGTTTCCTTATTACAGTAGAGGATCAGTCTTTGTACGCGCTTCTATGGAAAGGTGGAGTGGCGGGGGCATTTGTAGCCTTGGATTTTTCGTATTTTATTTATGTTTGGGAGGTTATCGTAAGTGTATGAATAGTAAATTAATTCGAATTTGTGAATGAAACTCGTGATCAAAAGGCCTATCCGTGAATGATCCCAGCACAGGCAGTGCCAAGCTCTAACCTGTCAGGGACGCGACCTAACACCGCAGCAACACCTACGTCTCTCATGCCCTAACTCTACACTCTCCCACCACCTCAGCCATGGGCTCCCTATGCTCAAGACCTCACATGCCCGGCGAAGGGCAAACACTCGGCTCTGGCCCCGCACCCCCTCAACGTACGCAACCCGCTGGCCCGGGCTCGCGTCCCGCTCCTCAACAACAATCGTCTCCGGGGAGGACACTGGGGAGTACGACACATCAGCCGGCGGGGACGCCGGGGATGAGCGTCCCTTCGAGGGAAGCGGCAGCTCAGGCTGCGGAGGCGAGGGCTAAGGCAGTGAGTCATGTTCTGGCTGATGTCGGGAGGCGGGCTGATATTAGTGTGCAGGCGAATACGAGAGGAGTGAACGTGAGCAACCCTAAGGCTGGCAAGTTGAGTGCGAACCTGGATAGGCAGAAGAAGGATGGTAGGATGGCGGAGGAACAGCAGCCGGAGAGGATCATCGTGCGTCTCTTTTATCATGAATATGGACGTAACTGATGGGTGGCTAGTATGACTAAACATGGGGTGCGAGTGTATGGAACCTGTTGTACAACACTGGAATGGAGAATTATACCAACGTTTTGGAATATCTTGCCTCTGAAAGATCTTAGGGGACTTGGTTTCTGAATTTCATGTTCTGGTCTGAATGTGAATGGCCGGACTCCGATTGACTCTGGGGGCAGCGGTCCAATTCGGGGAGCTGCGCTGTTGCGTGGGGATCACGGCTAACCCCTAACTGGCCAGCGCGCAGGACTGGCACAGTTCCCCGGGCACTGCCAAACAGCGATCAATGATGTTTGGTAAGCCCTTCAGCCCATAAGCCCCGGTGTCATGCTGATTACCGGGTAGGACAACGTACAGGAGGAAATCAGGCACGGCCGAGAACAAGCCCCGACCGGTCCGTCATAAATTACAGGCATACGATGGGGGTAAGGACAGGATACGGTGGATACGCTAACTTCCACAACGGTTTCGACGACGTCTTGTTAAGGAACGGATTTCGGCTGCCACTCTACTGGGTGAGGCAGAGCGGGATGATCGACGACTTGAAGCTCTTGGCAACTTTGGCAGGGGCACTATGTTATCAGCAATCAGTACTTGGTTACCAGCTGGAGGCAGAGAGAGGCCTGCGCACGTGAAGTTGCTCTCGGCGGCGGCAAGCTGGGGAACTTGTAAGTGTGGGAGCTGTGCGCTTTGGAGGAGTGAACTTACAGTAGCAGGGGAGATTGTGAAGCTGTCCATTTGGAATGTTTGGGTTTGGCTGAAGAGGCGGGTAGAGGCTATTGGGCTGAGTCGGGCGAGTTGTTTTCTGCCCTCCTTGCGATGATAATAGGCGGTATTTATACCTTTGAATAGGTGCAGGTTTTGTTCATCCGGGATCACTTGCCCAGGAGCATACACGCTGTCGGAGGCCGGAGTCACGAAACCTTTTAGGACAATACTTTCCTTCACGCTAGGCAGGCCTGAAAAGCCAGGATCGTCGCATGGCAGACGTTTCAATGTCGCATCTCCGACAACATTTACACGTCCGTCGACCATTGAGCACTGCACAGACCACAGGCAGTTTCTCCGCATTTGAATTAAACCCTGAACAACACATGTTGACGACGAACTCATACCTGCCGGAATGTCGCTCGACGAGCGCCGGATGCGGTACACAGCTATCTATGTATATCCCCGCAGGGGAACAGAAGGCTAACTTGGGAAGCCGGAGACGACACCGCAGACCATTCAGGTCCGATCGGCCTTCTTCCCGAGAATATTAATATTGATCCTTCTGCGCTTACTTGTACCGCAGGTTCTTCCGGAACTCCGGTTGACAGCGCTTATCATTACGCACACGACTGCTGTCACAGATCTGTCAACTTGTTACGATGTCCGGTGCGTGGTACTTGTTGTCGTTGTCGGTCTAACACAATTGTAGCACATGTTGTTCATTCTATTTATGGCTACTTTTGCGGATTGAGGGATCGTCTGAATTGTGCCTCCAAGCGACGGTCAGAAGATCATGCGGCCTGAATCGAGAGTAACAGGCCATCTTCCCACGCTGCCTTCCGGAGCAGGGAGGTCAAGCGCAACATTCTCCAAGAAACATTTAAAAATGTGACAATTTTGTTTTCTGTTGGACTTTTGTCGCAAATTCCCTACCTGTTTCAATTCCCAAATTATTCTTTCTTCGACCGTCCGACTGGCGACTCTGTTCGAATTTATCGACTGCATGCCACCTGCGAAGTTTCGTGGTCTTTCCGACACTCTCGGGACTTTGTTCCAGAACGACTCTTTCAAGTTCGAGATGGTTGGCGTACGTTCTCAACTTGCATAAATAGCACTTGAACCAACCCCAATATCACAGCTTACGCCTGAGAACAAGCACTACAACCTCCAAATCAAGCGAGTCGATGGCGAAGACCACGTACTGGCGTTCATAATCGCGCCGCGCACTGCGTACGCAACGCCAAGCGAGTTCCGTCGCGCACTCAAGCAATCTGGACGTGAGGGCGGTCACAAAACTGAGCTGGCTAACGGAACGCTTCCTTTGTGAGTGTTTTCCTCTGTCGCATTCCGCTGTCCCGAAGGCAAACTAACCTCACGCTGTCCGACCAGGGCCATGATCGATGTCATAATCCAACCTCACGGCTTCATACCACCGTGTTCTGTTTAAACAGGTAAAACACTGGTAACATAAGGAGCCGCGTCTTGGGGCTGTGGAATTCCTGCTGTTATATGTATGTAATTTGTACTGTGCCCAAGCGGGATGTAGACGTGTAATCCATCTACCTTTTTGTTTTTGTTTTCAGCCAGCTCATACTTGAGATTTGGATAAAAATCACCTAATATTTTGGTTTGTCCTGGAATGATAGACAAACAAGGACAATAGCTGTAAATGTGCAATGAGTGTTCTGTAATACGGAAAACAATTTATTTCGGCGTATCCTCGGATTATCCAACCCTTACCTCTGCGCGCTCTGACCGCTCACCAACGTCGAGTGGTAAGCGCAAGCAATGTCTGTCCCATCACCTGCACTGCGTACTTTTACATCTCTCTCATCCTTCTCCTTGTCATCCAAAGCTCGTCTACCGAAGAACGCATTTTGTCCTACAAAAGATCTCCTTGTGTTGGTCTCTGAGCATGAAGGGACTGATCGCGTCTCGCTGTGGAAGGCGACAGGCTCAAAGGTCTGGGACTTGAGCCTAGGCAAGCAAGATCGCTTCACTGAGCTTGCATGGAGCCCGGATGGTGTGCAATACCTTAAGCATATGTAGTACACGTACTTACGCACGCGTGCAGGAAACCTCTTAATGGTCGCTCGAGAGCCTGCTCGCCTCACTTTACATTCTGTGCATGACGGTCACGAAATCACCTCTCTCGTTGTGCCATTTGATCAGACACCTGATCCCACTGGCAAAGGGAAGCGTCCAGAAAGGAGCACACCATCCAAGCTGAAGAATGTTTGGTGGCTGGAGAAGGAAGAATATGGTCAGGATGAAGGAAGTCCATTGAGACGGAGAAGCGTACCTAAAAAGGAGGATCCAGTAGTACGTGGAGTGCAACATACAGGTGTTTGTTGGACTAACTCACATGCTCAGCTCGGGTCAGCACAAAACTTGCTCCGGACTATGCCCTATCTGACCCCAGTGAAAGAGATCAAGTGAGGCAATAATTATAACGGTGTTCATGTGTGCTTATGAATCTCAGAGCCGACAGCATATTTTCTCTGAGCAAAGACAAGACAGCATCCCAAGATTCATCACTACCTCCTCATCTGCTCGCGTTCCCTTCTCTGCTCGTCGATCCACTTGACGCCAGCATACAGCCTCAACGAACCCAGGACACACCAAGTTCGCGTCTAAAGGATGACGAAGCGATTCGTAGTGGTGCAAACGACGGAAGTGTACTGGTCGTATCCGACGAGAATGGTGCTCTTCACTTCTTTCTCAACGGCACCTATCCTCTCGGATATTTCAATCTCGGGGCCGATTGTGAACCATGCAACATACACTTGATGTCGGAGTCTATGGTCATGGTCTCGTTCCGTCGAGGTCGCGGCTCAAGCGATGAAGAGCCACCTTATGTGGGGGCAGCCAGTCTCTCATTGCCGCTTCTGCCGACGCGGGCATTGCGTACTACGGCGGCAATATCCTCTCTTCTCCGAGAAATTCTCGTCATCATGCAACAGGCAGTTGACGAAATGGCGAAAGCCTGGATGGGTGCAGAAGGGCTGGAGGGTGCTAAAGACCTCGGGGTCCGATGGTATCAAACCCTCGAGAAGAAGGGGGAAGGAAAAACAAATGCAATGTTCGAACTTGTCACACTGCTCTGCACCGGTCGGCCGCGGCCTAGCATGGTAGAGTTCTTGGGGCTTTTAACGGAGAGAGCTTGGGAGAGCTGGAATTCAACGGTACAGAACGCCTTCAAACTGATGGAGCGCAATATTGCCGAGCGTATTGTTCCGGCATGTGAGCGGTGTGTTGTGTTACTGGAAGAACTCAAGGGATGGTGCACATGGTATGCTTGATAGCGCTCTCCGAGACATCCTGTTGATCTTGCCTTCGAAGGGAGGAGAGCTATGCTGACTTCGGAGTTCCGAAGGCTGAAGTCGAGGACTGCATATCGGCTGTGCTCCGAATGTTAGAGCTGAGTCACGCGCTCGCCACGCACATTCTGGAGGAAAGATGGTCCTTCGACGGTCTGATGATCTGGCTTCGTTGGGGCAAGTGCTCTTTCCAAATTATAACATATGCATGCTAAAATAGGTTCAGAAGCACAGCGCTTGTCTATCCAAGAGGGGCAAGCGCAACCCGAGCACCCAATGCATGATCCCTTGCAAGTTGCCGAATACCTGCAGACCGGGCTGTTACGCTCGGGAGTAGATGAATGGTTTATAGGTCCCGCCCCAACGACGACTCCAACCGAGCAAGCCGCATCAGCCACCAATAAGACTCTAGACTCTGCTCTTTCCGAGGCCCGCCAAGCGCTAAAGCAGCCCAGAGAACGGGTATATCGCATGCATCGGTCTCCGGTTGGCTCTGGAGCTAACGAAATGGCGGACCTCGGGGCGAAGCCGGTGACAGACGCCGACTATCCGCCTTCCAGGACGTTAGCCGAGAGGGTAGTTTTGAGCATGGATCGGAATATCGTTGCGCTTGGCAGCGAAGTCGGCCAGATGTGCCAGCACATATGTGTGAAGGCTGCAGGTGCCGCAGGGCGCACTGCGGATGTTGTGCAGCATTGGGCAACTGCTCGCGCAGACGATCTCGTCTCAGCGGAGACATACTACAAAGAATTTTGGGTAACAGGGTTGGTGAGTCTGCGTTCCCACAGAACGCAGATTGCAGTGCCTCATCACATTGATTAGGATGAAACAAGGGTACAGTATGTGGCGCTGAGAATTGTGGACGCCCATCAAGGTCCAGAGGACGGGAGTGGGTATAATCCTTCACGTGAGCCACGTGTTCCCACCCTCTGGCTCCCATTGTTGACATCCGCATATAGTGTGTGTCCTCAAGCTCGAGTACGACAGGGGGAGTGGCGCGCCGATCAGATCGAGTGCCGCATTGCTGGACATTCAGCTGTCAGAATTAGACCAAGAATCGCAAAAAGCAAGCGGCGATCCCACCATCCAGAAGGGGTGCCTGTGGGATCTACTTGATTACGAGTTCTTCGATGAGGTTAACCTCGTGCTTATCGTGAGGCGCCGTCGATGCGAGAAGGAAACTATCCCACGACAGCTCGATCCCGATCTCGATACACGTAAGTGGTCTTTCCGTTGTATTGGTGCAGTTCGTATCCCGTTGCAGAAACTCATGAGCTGCTTCTTTTTAGAACCCGTGTTGTGTTCTACTTTCTATGTTGATCTTCCCTATCACCGACTTGCGCGAGATGAAGGCGATGTCTTCTCAAAGGTGAAACAGGCGCAACAAGCTGGAGAGGTGCGAATCATTTCCTTTTGTACTTCTTACACTCTTCCGTATTCTTCTCGGCCCGAGAATTTCCCCCGCTCTCCGGGGCACTAGCCTCAGGGCGCCCGCTCCGAGTAGGCGCCAAGGTTGCTGATAGCTGTCCGTTCTAGTTACCGAGCATACCCCTTCCGTTGGCCCGATGGCGCGATCTGCGAAAGTATGCTTTCGGAAGCGGAATCGTACAGCTTTCTGTGAATGGTCGGGAATCACGACGAACAGCGTGTTTAGTTGGATCGGGGGGCGGAGGTTCGGAAGTCGAAGTTTTCGATATGTATGGACAGGATGATGAGGTGGTGCCCAAGAACGAAGGGGGGGATGACGAAGAGATGGACATTTGAGCGTATCTAACAAGTACTACGTCGTCCCTATACCGCCTACGAATGCAAAAAGGAGGGAAGAAAGGTGACGGAGCCTGGTTAAATGTGAGGACCTCGCGGGAGCACAGAAGCTGATTGCCACGCGTATCCCCGCTACTTGGAGCAGACGATGTACGATTTATCTGCTTCGCTGGACATGTTTTTTCTTGCAACTTCCTTGATGGTCCCCTGGAAGAAGGGCGGAGGACGGTCGAAGTTGTCCGACGATATTTCATCGGCAACGAAGCATCGAGATTCGACCGACTCCGAGGAATTGGTTCGCCAGCAGCCCAGAACTGACGGCCGCTCCCTTTGCATATAGGGCCTCGTGTTCAACAGTTTATCAACACACAAGCCCCACGTCGTCTGTCTCCCCTCATCGGTTTTCTCATCAAGCTTATCCTGGACCACCTTCTAGATTGCTCTCATCTTGTCTATATCTCCGCTCGAGCACTACACGCGTATCGGCATAGCCCTGATGTCCACTTACGCTCTTCCTGCAACCATCACTTTCTCACGTTCTCTGCCTTCACCACCGTCTCCTCCTACATCGTCTCCACCGTTATCCCAATCCCCAGTCTCTCCCCATTCCTCTCCTCCGTCAAATCAATTGCAATCAGGATTGATAGCATCACCATCTGGCGGTGGGGTGCGCATGTCAGCCGCAAAACCGATGACTGCCGCGGAGAGAAAGCGCAAAAATGCCGATGCCCAGGCTGCGTTCAGACAGAGGAGGAACGAATACATCAAGAAGCTTGAAGCTGCAGGCACGTCTCGAGATATTAATTCGACCCTTGTTACCTCATATTTACGTGCTCCCAGTGGAAGATCGTGAAGCGATGATTAAGAACCTCAAGGACGAGAAAACAGGCATGGCCCGTGAAAGTCAGGGTCTGCGTGACGAGAATACCCGCCTCCAGGGCAAGATAGAAGTATTCCAAGCCACCATGAAAGAGAATGACAAGCTGGTGAAGATGCTTGAAAAGCAGCTGCAGGCCGCCCAGACTCAACAACAACAGCAAGCCCATGCCCAGCAACAGTCATCTCAGTCGTTGGGCTTCGAGTACGGCGGTCTCTATGCAGCACCTACCGGGATTCTGTATGCGAATCAAGCTCCGAATTCCTCCTTCAGCGGCATGCCTAGTCTCACAATGCCGATTCACAACATGAGCGCAGACTTTGCCTCGAATGCCAACGGTCCCTCCCCTCCAAGAGGTCCGCATCACATTTCAGCCTCTACGTTCGGGACGCCGACTACTGGTATGCGGATCACGACGATTGCCCCGAGTGTGGCAGAACAGGCACAAGCATCCCAGTCCTTTCACGCCTATACCGACAACGGCTCTCGGTTCGAAGTGAATAATCATGCTTCCGGAAGTGCTGGCATCAGCTCGGATTCAGCATCGTCTGAAGCAAACGGGGGTACAGGGATGACCAACTCCCCCATCGAAGCCGCCGCCACGGTGCAAACCATGCCGCCGGGTACTGATGGGATATCTTCCCAGTCCACGGGGGCGAATCAGTATTCTTTTCCCACGGCGCAGCAACATCATCAGCAAGCGCAAAATCAGGGGATGTCATATCCGTCGTCCGACTACCCGTATGCCCATTCTACCTACTCGCAACCTTCTCAACGTCTCCAATCCGAACATCAACAGGATATCAAACCACCCACCCCCGCACAGCCATTTCGCTCTGCCCAGGCAATCAACAGCTTGAACAATATGAACCTGGATCCCGCGATGAGCGAGACGGTTGCGCTGCTCAAGGCTCAGGCATTTGGCAAGGCACGGAGAAGGCGAAACCTATCTGGCTACGACGAGTCCTCAACGACGTCAGCCACTGCTCTTGACATTCGTAAACGTCCCCGATTTGAGGACGACGATGTTTGAAGATATTACGCTTGATCTTGAATGTCCCTCACGAGTAGAGTACTGTATTTGTAGATCAAGGACGTTGTTGATCTGTTCTTGCCCACGTTTATTCCTGTCACGATTCCTTCCAAAGGGTGCACGTCGTCGATGTCCGTCGAGTAACGTGTTGTAGCAAAGCCTTGACTCTCTTTTGTTCTGTAGATTGTACCATCGTCACCCTTCCCCCTCTACAATGTCTTGATCTACATGCGAATGAAAAAAATGTTGCTCAATGCTGTCACAGACGGAGACACTTTGATATCATCGTAGCATTATGATACCGCCTATGAACATCATACCCGCCAGCAGTGTCCACATCGATACACCGGGTAGCGATGCCCCACTAGAAAAGTCCGATTCACGGAAGACGATCAAGCTATTCACGACCCAACTGGCGTTGACAAAATTCGCTCCTTTCATCACCTGCGTCTCGCACGAGCCAGGGCAGCCGCTGCTGGAGTAGGCGCTGCCTGCCCAGTCACCGCAGAGGGTGATGTCGAATACGATCGAGTGGGAGTTGAAGTACAGCCAGGGGTTGCACCCGGCGGGGGAGAGGAGGGCGGTCGGATAGCCCCAGCCGCTCGGTTGCGGGTCGCCGTTCGTAATATCAGGCGGGACAGAGGACCGGTGGAAGAACCCTGCATGCAACAGCATGAGTTTTTTCCCGAATAATATGATTGGGGAGAGCGAACATACAGGCAAAAATCCCATTATCGTCCCACTGCATGGCGAACACACCGCCGCCGAGGTTGTTCAGCGGCTCGCCGAAGGACGTCTGCGAGGGGTCGGTGATCCCGCACCCAGAGTTGTCGTTCACGAAAGCGTCGCAGTCCCTTCCCTAAACCTGGTCAGCCGGGCACCGCCAGTTGTGCAGAAGGACGTACGATGATGGCCCCGGTTTGGTTGACGCCTTGTGTATAAGTGCAGTCTGGGAATCGGTTAGCATTTGGTAGAGTGGATGAGAGCAGCACACACTTGGCTCGGTATGGAACGTGACTTGGTTATGCGTGCCCAGGTTCACTCCTTCGTAGATATCGATCTCTCCCCCTAACGGCCAATTCGCGCCCACAGTCCACAACGCTGGCCACTGTCCATCCGCCGCCGGACCAGTCAGATTAGGCCCATACGAGCATTGGAGTACATACCACTCCACAGCCCCAAGGCGCATGCTCCACGTCTAAGAGGAACAGACCACCCGTATAGCTTTTAATCGACTGGATCCTCACGCTGTCCCTGTTCTCACCCAACGGGAGGTCTGTATGATTGTCAACCGTCATGACAGCCTTGTTGTCCGGAGTGACATAGACGAGCCCGCGGCTGAGAGCGGCGGTTTTGTTCACGTAGCTGCGGGGTGTGAGTGATGCTCGACAGATAGAGGAGGAGCGTACTTCACTTGTCCACTGTTGGGTGATCAGATTCTGCTCTTCGACCGGGAAGGGAAGGGAACGCACTGTGTCGGGTCTGGTAGGTCGTAGAATACGAATTCGCTGATGTGGGGGTTAGTAGCTCCTCGACTTGGACGGCAGAGTGGACGCACTCGAAGAACCCCTCGCCTTGGAAGACGTCGACGACGACCCATGATGGAGCACGTTTGGCCATCCTCCCACTCTGCCTACTCTGCGCCCTCGTCGTAGGAAGACCGTCGCTCCCCCGCACCGACTGAGCAGCAAACGGCAGGCCTATTCGTGGCGCATTCCTATTCCATAACTCGATAATCCGATTCGAAAAGGGAAGTGCATGCGCCTGGGCCGTCAAGAAAAGCAGCACATAGGGTATAGCGTGCATCTAGTCGCGGCCGTCTAAAAATAAGATGTTGGGGAATCGAGTATGTTGGTATAGATTGAATGCAGTAATAAGCCTGAGATGAGTTGGCCAGTGTGCCCCAATGCCTTGAACCGACGTACACGAGGCCCGCACCACGCCGAATTGATGGATGAAGTGGGCGGGCTGCGCAGTAATTGTTCAAAGTGCGAACAGTGAGGAGTTTTTTTGGAGTTGGCCTTGCTTCCGGAAATGAATGGAATGCGAAAATTTCTTCTTTATTTTTAGAATACGATTGTGGGGATATTCACTTTACCAGGCGAGGAATCCCCTCGGACAACGCAACATTCTATGAATAACGAGCAGTGAACATTGATAACGGTATACAAAAATGCAAGGTGTATGGATGTACAAAATGCATCTACAATACAGACCTAGTATCACACACATACAAACAATGCGTAGCACATCATTCACAACCACTTTCTCCAACCTCTGACCGCCAGCATTCTCCTCATCCCACATCCAAAAAGCCCTGTATCTCAGCGCTTCGCAACCCGATCCTGCAGCTTCTCCCACGCCACGACCATAAACAGTACCCAAGCAGCTACGATCGCGAGCCCACTGAGAAGGATGAAAATCGCCCCTCGGCGTTTCTCAACCCGCGAATGAGCCATCATATGCTTCCTATTTCCGTGAGGGAGCACATGGTGTGAAGGTTTGGAAAGCAGGGGCCGGGCGGAGGAGGCTGAGAACGTGCGGGTGTGGAGTGCCTCTTGCTGGGCAGGCCGTTCTTCGTCCTCGGCTGCAGGAGTGTCCCGTGGATCCGTCTCCGTCTCCTCATCCGTAGGCACAGACATATACCCTTCCTGTTTCCCTCTTTCTGCCTTAAGGTTCCTCGACACCTGCAGCCTCCACATGCCCAATATCGACACTAATTGTACGACGTTAACGGCCAAGAACGCCCGCAGGAGGAGGGAGATCGCCTGCAGGTTGTTGGGCGTGTCCAGGGTCGAGGAACGGGTTTTGTCTAGCAGGAGACCGGCAAGCGTCTGGGAGATGGTGGACCCGGTTTGCTCGAGCTGGGTTGTGTGAGCGCGGGTAAAGAGGAGGGGAGGGGAGGGGAGGGACGCACGGCTTTGTGCACTCCGAGTGCGGAGGAGACGTATTTGATAGGCACGAGATGGGGTACGATGATCACGAGTAATACTACACCCTTCAGCGGTTTTCACAGTACAACATAGCGGGGACTCACGAGTAGCAAATCCATGCCCGCCGCTGAAGGCTACCAGCGCGGGAGTGGGGGATTTGGTCCATTCCGGGGGCAAGGCGAGCCAAGAATAACATACGAGGGTGAGGATAGAAGAGAGGACGAACATCTTATGCACGACTGTTGCTGTCTTTAGCCGGTCGGTGAGATAACCACACTGTTCGCAAGTTAGCAATAGTTGCCGAGGTTGGGGATGAACGCACAATAGGATAGAGGAAGATGCTCCCTGCCATCAACAGGCTAGCGCGACTTCCCGCGTCAGCCTCTGTGAGCCCATACCGGCGCTCGATGATGTTCGCACTGAGGTGCATGAACGGCGCCCATATCGCGCCGCACAGCACGTTAATCCCTGCATTATCTCAGCCCAGGTCCTCAACCTGGGGGGACTGAAGAAGCGCACCGACATAAGCCCAGAAGACGTCCCCCAGTTTCCCGATATTCCGGAATCGGACCCTCCGCTTCCTCTCAATCCGGCGCAGCGCTTCCGCTTCGCTCATCCTCTCCGCCGCGCTGAGCCCAGTCTCCGACGCAGCCTGAGCCTTCCTCGCCGCTGCGCGGGCTTCACCTTCCTCCAGCCCTACCCCTGTGGAACGGGCAAACCAAGCGCTGTACGATAGGTAGAGGAGGTTGACAGCGAACGAGAACCCCGCTAGGAGGGTAGCGACGACGAACGGTGCTCTAGGGCCAAAACGTTCCGACAGAGGGAAACTCGTGATGGCGCTGACAAAGCTTGCGCCCTTGCCTGCCAGCAGTCCGAGAGCGAGGGAGATACCGAGCCCGTGCGAGGAAAAGAACCGCACGATAATCGTTTCCTGGACTACTGCGAGCGGGCTTATCCCCAGGCCGAAGACGAAAAAGCCTAGGCTCATCAGGCGCACGCTTTCGAGCGTATCGCCCAGGAGGAGGATGAGCTGGCCGACGAAGATGAGCGAAGTGGCCAGCACGCTCGACCAGGCTGTCCCTAGACGGGCGGTAAGGAGACCACCGAGCAGCGGCGTCCAGGTGTTGTTTAGGCTGAAGGAGGCGATGAGAAGCGAGAATTGGGCGTTGGAGGTGCCCATTTCGCGCGAGAGGCGGGACTTGATCGGGCCGAGGAAGTACTGCGCACTAGAGCGATGTCAGTGACTACGGGTGATCTTCGTAGTAAATAACGCACTAGTGACTGCCTACGCTCAGTGCACATGCACAGAGAAGTGCTAACGCACGGATCATCCATCCTTTCCATCCCATACTCCCTGCATGCGGAAGATGAGGTGTTGCCAGCTCCCTTCGTCCCACTTCTGTCTGCACAGCAACTCCCTGCCCTTCCTGGGTGTCGTCGTCGCTCGAGTGTTCGTGGGGTTGTACGTGGGCGCTGCCCTCAAGATAGGAGGTCGTCGAGCCCGACTCGGTCGAGAGGAGTGATTCGCGGGAGCCGGTGCGCCTCACGTTCGTCTTGGATCGTGTCATTTCCTGGTCGACTTGGTCTTCTTCTTCTACCGGCGCAGGATGTCGATGTGAAGCGTACGAGTCGTGTAGCAGAGGAGTAGATGGGCGAGTCGCAAGCTCATGGGTGAGTTCCCTATCACTCCGGAGATGTTTAGAGCTCGCGGCCAGCCGAGCCTGTGGTGCCCACGCCATGCCAGCGAATATCAGCAAATATCACCGCGGGTTTGAAATAGAAGGCCTAAGTAAGGAAATTGATGAAATGAAAGGGGGTAATGTAATGTAAATGCAATGAATAGAATGGAGGGAATATCCGGTGACAGGATTGTCAGGAGCAGAAGGTAAAAAGAGAGGAGGAGCACAACATTATTTGCGGGGTAAACACACGGGCGCTTGATTCCGCCCACACATCCTATCTAATCTCCTAATTCTATTTCCTTATTCTCACTCTCTTCGACCCCTTTAATTCATCAGTAACGGCATTCTTCGACCGAGAATATATACCCGCAATAATCCGTAATTATTCGTAATTTGTTATTATACTCTCAATTTAAAGGATGATGCTTCCGTGTGGGCTTATCAGATCAGATGAGCAATAAATACAGTGCAATGAAACAGCCCCTTGGCTACTGGGCATCCCTGAACGGAAACCACAAGTCGGATTGCCCGGCCGAAGAACAAAGAGGGAAAGAGCGATTACATAGTCGGGAATGATATGATCCGCGGGTGCGTCAGTAAGCAGGGAAGAACTGCCCAAACTGAGTGAAGCGATCACGCCATAGAAGCTGGACGGTTTCTGTTCGGTGCTTTTATGTTCCTATACAGAAGGACCGGGGCCACATGTTCGGTTCTCCTTTCTTTTAAGAAGCGCCGCAATAAATGACCACAACCAAGTGTCCAGTCCTACACGTGCACAACATACATGTACATACAAACGCTGGCATTGTTCAGCGAATAGAGTCTAATACTATACTCAGAATTCGGAGTCTGTATACTATATGTACTGTATCTGTCTATAAAGTATATTATCTAATATAATAATCCTTGCCTTTCTATACCCGGTTCCTGTTCCGTTTGCGCACCTGGCGAGCACGGCGGCGACGTCTAGCTTTCCTCTTTCTCCTCCTTTTCTTGCGGCTACTCCGCTTTTTTCTCCTCCCCCCAAACCAGCGCCTCAACGCCCTGTTCCTCTGTCTCCTCACAGGCCTGCCTGTCCCATCAAGTCAAACCCAAACAGGTTCATCCATCCACCCCTTCCTCAGTCCCCTCCCCGCCCCGATCTCGTATAACAAGAACAGCTTATCCTGTGGCTCTTCCTCCGTGCGGATCCAGTATGTCTGGAGCACGGTCACGTTGGGCGGCGGGAGGGGAGGGGAAGGGTACAGGATCCTCGGCGGATCGCCAGCGGGCGTGCCGAAGGCGTCTATAGGGCAGTCTAGCGCCGGGCGGAGGATGTACATATCTGGTCAGGGGGTCAGTCAAGTGCCCCGATAATCGACCGTGTACATGAGGTGATCGAAGCCACCACGTACCATAATCCAGGTCGGTCTCCACGACCTCATCAGTCTTGTCAAACCTCGCTCTGCACCTCCGGTTCCCATCCACTCCCAGCACGAGCATGGCGCACATCTCGCATCTGTAGTCGCGCGCGCTCGGGTCACCCTTGGACATCGTCAGCGCCATGCTCTCGGCACATTCCTGCCAGGTTGCGGGGGAATACTGTGGCATGTGCGTGCGGACTTCCCGTTGGAGAGCGGCGAGAAGGTCTGGGTAGAAGGAAGGCGGGACCTGCCGGCCCCGGATGTAGGAGACGGACCCGGGAAGAGGGTAAGTCTCGTTTCGCTTTGGAGGGGTAAGTCATCTCACTCGTAAAAAGACGTAATGTTGAACAACGCACAAAGTACTCCCGCACCGGGGTGGTGATGCTCCCCTGCACGGGTGGCGGAGGGGCCACACTAGGTGTGAGCCTGGGAGGGATGAACAACGGAGTGAGAATCGGCGGTGGTCCGCCGGATGTGCTCCCTTGCTGCGCCCAATTTGGGAATATCTGTACGGAGAGCTCGGTCTTTGCCTGTCGTTTCGCACGTACTTTGGCGGTGCTGCTCCTTTGGATGCGTTTCTTGTCGACCATGGTGCTGAAACAGTAAAAGCAGAGGTTGCAAGAATATCAAGAAGCTGGAGGGAGAGGTTTTTTAGGAACTGTGAGGGAAGTAGCCGCACACGACCACTAAACAACTTTGTCTGTTATTGTCTCTAGCAGGAGTGGCTGCCTTATAACACGTTCGATTGCCCACCTGGACTGCCCAGCTGGCGGCATGGGTGACGTCGGGACTCAACCCCAGATCTACGAGCCGCAGCGGTAGCTATGCACGATGTTGATGCAGCAGAGCGAGAGGATGCTGGGTCAGGTGCTTTGCTCGTGAGTTGAACACAGACAGCAGATTTACCTGCCGAACCCACTCATACGCATACGCCGCTCGGAGGCGGGGTCAGGTAGAATCCCCAAGCGATGACGTTGCGCCTCCCCCTAGAAGTGACAGTACAATTCGTGGTCGATAGGCTGAGCTTAGAGGGCTGAATAAAAAGAGACATCAGTCGGCGGCGTACGGAAATGGTCGGAATCTTGCCACAGCGTTCAAGGCCAGTCGGATACAAGATTGGCTGTAAGACAATCTCCCACGCTTGGGTGTATGACAATCTTCCACGCTTTTCCACGAGTCTATAGGATTGAGAGGCAGGGAGGGATGCAAAGACAGCGATTTCCATTCGAGGAAATTCAGTCGCGATGTTGTTGAATGTACTCCATAACTGTGTGATGTTATCCCGTCGAACAGACGCCACCGCAATGCGTCCAAACAGGAAAAAACCGCAGCCTATGATGATACTGATGATGTCGCTCGAAATCACCCCTTCAAGACATCCCTTCCACCGGAAAAGGGGTTCATTGCTGCCATTACTGCATTTCGTACGCCTGAGAACAGATCGATTCATCTTTGACATCCAGAGCTTGAACGAGACAACAGGTCACAGCCGGTGAGGCTCAGGCGAGGAGAAGCAAGATGTCTCCAGTCCTGTTTTCCGATGTCCAGAAAACATGAGCGGTGCTGAAAGCCATATCAGCACAGCGTAGAAGAGATACTCAAGGTCCTAGAAAATATGTGGGGACGTGACAATGGCGCGTTCCAAGCGATTGTCGCAACTTGGTCACCATCAGGGACGGCGACGTTTGGCACCGCTAACTCCGCGTCTTTGTCATCGCCTTCTGGCATTTGGCCACCCAGCCTCCGTCCTCCTTCAGGATCATCCCTTTCTACTATCTGGTGACGAGCCCGGTCGACGTTAATGCGATGTAGAACAGAAGAAAGCAGCACTGTAGTTTTGTCAAATCAACGTCCGCGATTGACTCATCTGGCGCCACATCGTCGACCGCGGCGCAGAAACACCCATTGGAGCACAAGACAGGCATGGCACCCGAAGTCATAGCAGCCGCCGCTACATCTGGGGCGATGAGAATGTATGAAACACAAAAGGAGCATGGCTGTGAGTCGATTCACTGTCACTCGTGGCGAACCGAACTGCAACTGACGGTCGTTCCTGTCCTCGTTCTTCGGATCGGGAGCTATCAAAAAACCTCGTTTTCTCCATCATGCCCTGTATCCTTGCCTTTTGCCGAGCCGTTGCTGACAATTGACGTGGCCTCCCCAGCTGGAACCATAATAGAAACCAGTGTTCGAGGTCGCTGATGGAAGTACTAGCGGTCCGTGGCGGGGTTGAATTATATCGATGGGTGACAACGACACCAACGCCAGAAGCACGCGCGCATCTTCTTCGATGAAAAAAATCAATGTGAAGCGGTGTTTGAAGGAGGTGCCTTAGTTTGAGCGGCAAGAATATGGCCGCTTCTGTATTGGCAGGGTTTGTAGATGGTCTCAAACAGTTTACGGCACAGTGATATCCTGAGCTCTGACATGTGTTGGTGCCCTGAAATTCGAGGGTAATTTCTGATCCATAATCTTAATATGAAGAGGGAAGCGGTTGAAAAAGACACGTCATCTACTGCGTATCTGATCCAAATCGGACGGCATCGGAACCTCGTGGCATCAACACTTCCTTGAGCTTGGATGAACGTCATCTAGAGGTGCGCAGACAAGCCGGCTGCCGAATTGCTGTCATCTAGGATCAGCCGCATGTTTCGTTCGATCTCGTCCAGGTACTGATCGATGAAGGCTGTGTTCCAATGATCCCCATACTAACGACTTGTGAGATATTACCGCTTCCCGAGGCAAGGAGACCACTTACCATAACCTGAATATGCATCTTCCCGTGAACTGTGAAAGAGACCACGGCACTCGATGAAGAATAAGCTACGAGCAACCCCTACCAGAGTCAGGGAGAACTTACGGGGGCGGACCGGCCTTCCGATGGCCAAACTTGATGTCGTCAATCTGGATGACCTCTTTTCCCGTCTTATCGACCCAAGTTGTCGGGAGAATGCTTTCAATCAGCCCGACGCTGGAATGTAGACCGACGTATGGGTTTGATGCCATCTGCGTCATGAACATGAGGATGGGATGTTCCAGGATTGTCTGTGCTGCTCCGATAAACGGGAGTAGAGGTTGAGAAGCCCAGTAGACATATTGCTTCTGGATGGCATTCATTACGGCGATGAACCGATCCTTCTCTGTCCCGGTCGTGGGAATGGAAGACACGGGTAATTCGTTGGAGATGAAGGTAAGACACGATGTTATGTATGTCCGAGGATCGCATTTGAGATATCGCCTCAGACTCACCCTGTTCACATCGCGATTAGCTCAACTGATACCGAGGATCTGAGATTCTCGCGTACTCAATCCCATATCGGAAATAGACCGAGTCCCGCTCTTCGTCTGGAATAGGGTTCAGACGGAGCTCGGCAAGTGCCTTGGCAGCGTCGATTAGCGTAGTAGGAGAGGATTTGACCTCCTTGAGACGAGCCAGCAGCTTTGATGTTGTTGCCTCGTCGATGACTCGAACCACGTATTCCGGTTTGGCTGTGATAGGCGTGATACGTTGGGGCTTAAGACCATGGCGAGTCTCGGGTAGTGATGAGCACGAGATTCCCGCGTGGGATAAGCGAACTTACGACATCTTTCTTGCTGAGTGCCCAGCACTCTTTGACCAAAGCTAAACCCTCGGTTTTGAAACTCTCTGGCAAACCACCCAGTGCGTCGAATGGGGCTGGTGGCAAGTTCCACCACTCCTTGCCCCAGGCCAGTTGAGCAGCCGGCAGAGTTTTCTCGGGAGTGACAACATAACTGAGCAGTTGAGCAAGGCAATCCAATCCGGAATGCCCGTCCATTAGGCAATGGGCACCATGCACGAAGATCGCCATTTTGTTCTCTCCGGGATAGACATTGGTGAGGAGATAAACACCGAAAAGCGATTCGTGACCATCCTCGTGAGTTTCAGGAAGCTGACGTGCCGCGACATGACTAAATTCTTCCATAGTGATGGGATCGTCCACGACATGGAGGACTTGACGAGCCCATTCTTCGACTTCGGCCGGGGAAGAAGCGCAAGTGTAGGACCAATGTTGGTCCAAACTGACTTCCGAATCGCGCTTGAGGGACGCAGCTACCAGAGGTGAGTGATATCTGGATAGTGTCAGATGAGGCGTGGTCGGACTGTGCAGCAAATCATACATACCGCATCCGCATAACACCCTCGAGCAGACGGTCATGGAGCGTCTCCTTATCCAAAGTCGTATGCAGGGATGCGCCTATTGCCGCGTCGAGCATTCTTTCGTGATGTCAGTTATGAGATGATTGCCATTAGTTGTAGTAAGACAGATTACGTACTCTCCCAAGAGCACCTTGATGAGCGCCCACACTTGCTCACTCCCGATGGTCGCACTGTCAACCATAGTCAATTTCAAAATGACATATATGCGGCATTATCTCGCACCGAATGTATGTTTGAGGCTGCCCCTGTACTGGTTTCCAGTCATGCTTCTTCAGTAACAGTTGATATCTGGGGTCGTCCGCAGTGATAGTCATGGGATCCTGCGCATTGGCGAGATATGGTTCAACAAGGGGGATGAGCGCCGCGAACGGATCGGCGCTATCGGTGGGTGCAGTGTCGCTCATGTTCCTGCGGTTGTCGGGTAGTTGACTTTGTGGAGCAAAATGCCAAATAGCGCGAGAGCGAGCCACACAAGCCGACACACTCGGTGCCCTTATGTATCCTGCGGTTGTGAATCGATGGCGGAACGAACGCGTGGCAAGCAGAGCCGAGCGAACCAGGGGCTGCATGATCGCCTGATTGCAGTTTTGTAGGTCTGACTGCAGGTCCAAGCACGCTGTCTTTAAGTACGTTCTTCGACAATACTGCGCTTTTGTCGCCGGTGAGGTACCGGTTCATCAACTCGGTGGCCGACATGTCAGGCGTCTTCAATACCATAGTACTGGACAGTTCATGCAAACAGCGCAATAGCAGACGATGATCCAAATACGGGCGCCGCAGTTGTAGGAAGAAGTGATGCCAGTATGCTTCGTCGGAACCGTTCCAGGAACGATGGTGTTCTGCGGCAGCGCGGCCCTGTAACGCGAAAAGGGACTGGAGCACGTGAGATAAAGCATCAACACAGCCTAAATCAGCTTCTGTTCTGTTTCTTCATGATGAGTGATGTTATTTACTATGTCATTCTCAAGTAAACTATTTCTCTTCATGACAGCAGAGAATGGAAATATGCCCGTCGCCAAAAGCACACAAGCACAAGGGTATATAAATGCATCTCCAGCATTCACACAAACATCACAAGTCTCATCGCTCAACAGAAAGTCCCGGAATCTCATGATGACCTCGCACACGAGCCTCGATCATTAAGGGGCAGTTGTTCTATTCGGGTTCCAGGCCTCATTTCCTTGACCCCGCCTTATCTAGCGCCCGCATCGCGAAGTACCTCACGTCAGGATCGTTGTCATTTCGCAGCGTCTCCAGTTGAGGCAAGATTCGGGCACGACCAAGCTCGCGACCCTCTGGAGACGAGGACAGATTCTCCGAAATGACATCCAAAGCCTTGGCTACGTTGAAGCGGATGTTTGGGATCGGGTCGCCGACGAGCTGGATGACGGTGGTGAGTACGAGGTCGCGGGTGACCTCAAGATTCAGGACTGGTGCCAAGGTCTCGAGCAGACTTCAGCATCGTGCATAAAGGCTGCTGTCTGCACTCACCGTGATAGCGAAGATCGTTGTCATCCTGAACAGATAGTTCGGGTGATTGCCCATCGCAAGGACCTTGGGTACGATTGTAGTCTTCGCCCAGTCGACACCGAACACCTCCGTCAGCTTTTTGAGGTTGACGATCGCAGCTTCCCGGATCGAGAAGACGGTATCGCCAAGCCATTGCATGCAGAGATTGCTCAACTGCTCGTTGAAGAATTGCACGCCGAGTTGCGTAGCGAGCAGGGGGATATATTCAATGATCGCTTGTCGGACGCGCCATTGCTTATCCTCAGCAAGCTCGACGATGGCAGGGAGGAGCGACTGAGAAAGAAGATCAATCCCGATGACTAGCGTTACGTAAGTCTCTATCTGGAATGGAAGCACCGTGTAACTGCTCACCGGCATTGACTTGCTCCAGCTTGCTGATAATGTTGAGTCGTACGTCTGGGAACTCATCTTTCAGGAGAAGAAGGAACAGGGGGAGGAGTTGCTCAATGGTGGCATCCTTGCCGAGAAGTGGTGCCAAACCGCTGATCTCCTTCCCTAGAGCTGCCCGTACGTGCTGCGAAGCATCCGTTGACAAGTCGCGGACACAAGGCAGGACACGCGTGAGGATGACTTCGGGTTCGAGGAGCTTGCTGAACCCAGGCAGTTGACCGGCAGCAGCAGTACGGACTTCCGCCTCGTTGTCCTTCAGCAGCTGTACGTATGCTCCGACCATCTCATCCTGTACGATCTCCTTGCCGACAGCCTCTGCCAGCTGTGCTTCACCGTTAGACAGCATCATCAAGTGGGTGGATGGTACCTACCTCTACGAAGTTGTTTCCGACCATATACCTGACCCTCCAGCTCTTGTCCCCTACCGACTGTCTGATCGACGGCAGCAACTGGTCCTTTACCTGCGAACTATCCAGCAATTGTGCAATAATTATGAGGTCCTGAACGGTGAGTAGCCTGACCGAGTCCTGGTCGTCGGCTGCCAGTCGGCGGTACACAGGGATGGCGTCGGTAACGACATGTTCCTTCGCAAGGGTTTTCGTGAAAGGCTGGGAAGATGTGCATCAGCACATGTATCTTCCACATAACCAGTTTGGTAACTCACCCCAAGGTGCTTCGCAGCAGCCCTGCGCACCATAGGGGTATCATCGGCCCCGAGCTGGTGGAAACCCTTGCGAAGCTCAGCCTTGGTGGGTTCGCTAACGAAGGGATAAACGGGCGCGTAAAGTGCAGAAGCGGAGGTTCTGCTTGTGAACCATTCCCCAGAAGACAGTCGCTTCACAAGAGGGACAAAATACTCTTCGTGTTGTGGGGGAATGAGGACAGCGCAGATTTTTGTCATCGACTCGGTTGCCTGCCAGGTCCGTCAGCAGGTGCCATACATACGCGTCAGGCAAGACTGGGCGCGTATATGCCACCAGAGGCCAGTAATGCAAGCACAGACTTGGAGCGAAATACATTAAAAGAAACGTAAAACAGACATACCTTCTCTCGAACGAGCGTCTCTTCCACCGTAGCGAGGTTCTCTAGCGGTCCCAGCAATAGATACGCAAACGCCTTTCCACCTAACTGATCCTCCAATCCCCTCCCAAGCTCGTCTGCTAGCGCAAGCAGAACCTCGTCCTCATCGTCGAGGCTTTCCTGAAGAAAAGGAACAAGCTCCTCTCGCGCACGCTGCGGACCGAGGGCGAGCGCGATGGTGGATATGCGGTGTATAGCGTTGAGTCGTAGGTTGATGTCTTCCGCCTTGAGTTCGTCGATAAGGACGGCAATGGGATACAATTCGTCCGAGTCCATCTCCGATCGTAGAGTTTTGTATAAGAATAGGTTGCGAGAACGTATGCAAGTTGTAGCAGATGGAGAGTGGCGGCAAGCTTGAGAGGATAAGGGTTCTGTGTTAGGAGAAGGACACGCGTTAGAGGTGTTTTCTCGTGTCGTGTGCTCGCACGCCTAAAGCGCGCCTTTCACACAATAAGTATGACGTGTTAACTCACTAATGGTTCAGGATTCAATTGTATTTCAGAGAGAGATTTGAAAAGTCAACATGAAAAGTACCGTGTAAAAGTAATAATTTTGACAATGGGATGATGCGGTGCATTTGGCTGTTCTCCGCTTTCCTCTCTTGATCACCCACAAAACAAGTTTGACTCCGCTCCTTCTTTCTATATTTGATCCCGAACTCTCCGACTCCCGGACTCGACCGATGACGTTGGCTACTCCATTATTATTCAACAACATCCAAACTTCGGGTTATCAACAGCTTTCCCCATCTTCATCCTCTTGTATACCTTGCCTCGACGTGAACTTTTGCCATGTCGTTCTTCAATGTTACTCAATAAAAGCCTGCTATAAACACGTAAAGGTCAACACAGGGGTTCGTTTCGAAATGCGGTGTGTTGATTGACGCCCAATGTTCCGCAACTGGCGATCCGACAGGTCTCCTAGTTCAAAGATCATTGGTCTTCACTTTATGATCTCTGTGCGACAAGCTGCTATATCCTGCTTCTCGGCGTTGGAGCGCCGCGGATACCATCCGCTGGCTGCCAGCACACCGTTCTTGGTATCGTTGATGTGAAGCGGGCTTCTTCACCGAATCGGGTCTCCTTTTCCCTGGATCTTGGCACAATACTGGAGATCTATCGACGGATATACTAACTTGACTTTCTTGCTGAGAATGTGCCTGAACATTACCTGCGTTTCCTTTTCTCTCTGGCTCACTCAGCATTGGCCCTTTGCCTACTGAAATGCTGTCTTGGCCGATCTTTCACCTAGCTGGGCTCTGCTCTTGTTCACCACCTCGACGTCATGGCTTACTTCAGAAACTTTGCAGTAGTCGGAGCTGGTGGCCTGGGGAGCTTTATCGTCCATGAGCTGCTGAAGCAGAAGGTGTTGGGCAAGGTTGGGGAGGTCACTATCCTGTCACGCACCGTAAGCATTGATGCTCCCATTAACCCCGCATATATGCTGAATAAAATACAGATTACAGGTCTAGATCGCTTCGCCTCTCAAGGTGCCAAGTTGGTCCCTCTCGACTACGACAATGTCAATCCTCTCAAGACAGTCCTCAAAGGCACGGATGTAATAATCTCCACCGTTGCAAAGCCTGCCATACCGATGCAGGATATCCTTGCCCGAGTCGCCAAGGATAGCGGTGTGAAGCTTTTTGTGCCTTCCGAATTCGGTATGCCAACGCTCGGAGGGACAACGGGACTGTGGGGCTTGAAGAACGCACACCGGCTGGCCCTTGAGCAGATGGGCGTACCTTACACGATCTTCTTCACAGGTGGCTTTACCGATGCTTCTTTTGGCACGTGAGTGTGTTCCACTGGTTCTTCAGCCTCGACTGAACGTCCCCAGCGATCTTGGGTTCGATTTCCCGAATGCCAGGGTTCACCTTGCTGGAAGCGGCAATAATCTTGTCTCCTTCACCAGCCGAGTTGACATCGCACGTTACGTGATTTATGTGCTCATCTCTCTCCCCCCATCTGCTCTGGAGAACGCAGTCTTGCGGATTGAGGGGGAACGTGCTGTAAGTACTTGCTCCTGTCTTTCTGTGCTCGTTTGACGTTCCAACCAGACGCACGTGGACGCTCTCCAGCAATACGAGACGGCCACTGGCAAGAAATTGGACATTACCTGCGAATCCGTCGACTCTCTTCGGGCCACACTCTTGAAAAATCCCATGAATTTCCGTGCGGCACTCTTCCTCAGTTTTGAGGCTGGAAACGGGCTTGTCGGAAAGCCGGAAGAGCTTACGAACGATCTTTATCCTGATTGGAATCCGCAATCTATCTTAGATGTGTTATTATCGGAGGACAACAATGTGCGTACATAAACTCTCCATAGCGTTCCGCGCAGGATGCAGTACAACGTATTTGATATGTGATAAATAGTAGAAGATAAACGTCATTCCTGCCCATACTATGGCAACTCGCTGGGATACCTTGTATACGTTCGCAGGTCAAGGCACTCGACGATGCGAAGGAAAGAGTATCGCTCACTCGATGACAGTTCACCCTCTCTCTTCCTGAGCGCTGAATTACTCTGGGTCTTTCACTGGTTACAGCTCAGGGACTCTGGCCAACTTTCTTGGACTGGTGTCTTTCACAACTGCAATACGTCATTCATCAATGACCCTATAATGTAGCTCTCATTCTGCGAGAAGATCCGATTCCTCATGGCATCTGAACTGCCTCAAGCAGAAGGAACAACTAATTTTCTCACACACTCCTCACCCAAGAGCATCCAACCTCTTCTGCAGCTGAGCGCTAGGCATTCACCGCTTCGGCATTCCACGTCGGCTGCGCCCTCCAAGTCCCCACAATCTCTCCCACATTGACCACAATTCTCGAAGTCACTCGCAAGGTCCACGCAGTCCATCTCGCCCGCTGATCCGTAGATCTGAGGGCAAAGTGTATCTGTCGCCCGCCGGCATGCTTCAGGTCGAGGACCCAAGGACAACTGTTCACGTGAACGCTTGCGAGCACCTGCGGTTGCTGACAACACGCACGACCCACCAGGGTTATCGGTGCTGCAAATATATCCTCCTTCACACGATGTTAATGCAAGTATGACGATGAAGGGCAGTGAACACACCGTTATTGAAGCATGTTGTCTGAAACTGGTCGTGGAGAAAGGCAGATGTCGAGTCGCAAGAAGCCCCAAGACCTCCGCAGAGATCATCACTACCGCAGTAATCTGGATCGGGAAACGTCAGTGCATGCGTTCAGAGCGGACAAACTAGAGACAGGACACGGACTGTAGCAGTTGTCTGATGTTGTGCAGATCGCACCGTTGTCGCCACAGAACCCATTTGGAGCGCAAAATCCTTGAGTGTGATGTTGCACACCGTTGCCATCGATGTAGGTATCTGTCGAGGCCATGGATCAGAGAATGTAAAACGCATGGTGATACAAGGTCGCTCACAACTACATGGAGAATTCACTGGGGAGCACTGACTAGGGGCACCGAGCTCCTGGTAGCCGAACCCAAGAGCCGTCAGGCCGGAAAGAACTAGGAGGACTTTCAACCGCGGTGCGAGCATTGTGCACAGGCAATGGGAAGAACCTGCCAGAGTCATACATACTGTCCTCATGCTTATATCAGTCCCGTCGTGTTGACGGGTTCAACACGCATTTTCCAAGCAAGGTGTCTCAACGGAGATGAATGAATGGGAGGGGCCGATCACACCGGATGCCAAGGACACGGGCCGTTGAGTATCGGACTTATCCAACGAACCATGTGCCATATGGATTTACATTGACATTGTAAGGGCCGGGACGAGATGGGTATTCTTGGCGCGGAGTTGAAAAGACCTGGAAGAGACGCAGTTCTTTTTGGACATTCGGTCAGACCCTTGGTTACTACGCAACCGAAAAACACGGAAATGCAAAGACGGAAGCCATCAGATTGTTATGGAAAAAATTGCGGTAGGCTTCAAAGGGGGATTGACTTTGTCTTGGATTGGAGCAAAGCATTGATAATTGTGCACGCGTGACCAGGACCAGCGGAATGTAGAGATCAAAGGTGCAGGAAGCAAGCTGAGCGGCAGGATGACAATTCGACAAGCAATAGGCTTTTCTCGCAGCCACAAGGCAAAGGTATCAATGAACCTGATCGACAGATACAGTAAATAAGGGACGCACCTTATACAGAGAATACAATACATTCTATCAGGAACAAGAATGTTGAATTTATGCCCGACGGAAGGTCTCATCCGCATGCGGAAGGCACAGGTAAGATGGTCTAACCCACGCGGTCCACCGGAACACGTCAATGGGACAAAAATAACGCATGCACAGTTGAAAAACACCTCCAGTCTTTGGAGCCACGACGGCCGTCAACGCATTTCGGTTGTCCATGCCGGACCCAAAACAGCTCAGGGCTGAGCCAGGAGTTGCTTGCAAGTACCCAGACTGTCCAAGGAAGCTAATTTTCAGATTACGACCGAAGGGTAAAGGTTGGGCGGCAAGTCTACGAGATGTAGGTGATGCTGCATTGTTGTTGTGATTGAAGGGAACAGGATGAGAGAAACTGGATATATAACGTCACGTGACACGGCAAAGAACAAATGCGGCCTGGGAATGGTGCGACTAGGAAGAGAGAGGGTATAGATAAGTTCAGCAATGAGTTAAAGCCAGGTTGCTCAGCATGTCAAAACAGTGGTCCCATGCTCCTCTGGCTGTGAGACACCCAACCATTCGTTAACGAGAGCCTCGCACACACCCATTGTCGGAGAGCGTCCAACCTCTCCGACAGCTCATCGCCACGCACTTGCCCTTCACACACTCTACCACTGCTCCACCTGGCAGATCTCCGCATTCTGTCCCGCATTGCCCACAATTCTCGAAATCGGTTGTAAGATCCACGCATTCCATCTCTCCCGTAAGCCCGCCAAAGCTCGGACAGAGGGTGTTCGTGTTGCCCCTGCATGCGATGGGTTCAGGAGCCATGGAGATGTGCTGATGTGCACGCCTTTTTACGGTCAAAGATGCAGACAGCACGCATGTGCCATCTGAGCCTTCAGTAGTGCAAGTATACCTGTCTGCAAAGCGTCAATGGGAAGAGCCTAGTTGCGAGATTATAAGCATACCGTCAGTGTCGCAAGCTATAGCAAATTGGTTGTGGGTGAAAGTTGCCGCTGTGTTACAGGTCGCCCCAAGACCGCCGCAGATTCCATTACCGCAATAGTCTACCATGCGACTTCAGTCCCTAGGTGCTGCAAAACGATTACATACGGACCGTAACAATCGTTCGATGTCGTGCATGCCGCACCGTTGTCGCTACAGAGCCCATTTGGAGCGCAAAACCCGTTCACATTGACCGTTGTACCGCCGCTGTTATAGGACCCTATGAATGTCACGGATTAGAACAAGAAAAGTATAACAAGGGCAGGTGAAAAGGCAGGTTTATTCACAGTTGCATGCCGCTCCGACTGGCGAGCATGCTGGACCACCTGTTTGCTGCAAGACAAGGACAAAAGAGGTGAACGAGAAAAGGAATAGAAGGCGTGTTGATTGTGATGCAGACATACTGAACTCGAAAAGATCTTGCGAGAGAAATACAACACGCGGTTGCCCAGTTCAAACTCGATCCTTGTACTAGACATCACATTACGAAAACACCGTGTTGACGTATTTTTCCAGCACAACATCACGTATCAGGGACCGCTGTCCAGAGCCACTATGAAGCAGAACAACACGGAGATGAGTCGTCCTGCCTGCAAGTCGTGGGAGAGTGTGACATTAGGACCATCCAATTGAATTCAGAAGCACGGTCTCCGCACGGGGAAGGGACCTTTCAGAATCTGCTTCCGGCTGAGGGAACCTTCGGATGCGACCCTGGCAAGCAGCTCACTGAGCTATTTCGGATTCACTGGGCATCTGTGATCTGATGGAAGGCACTTTGTAGCTTGGCGAGATCAAAATACCAGTTGTTTGGGATTGTGTGCCAGTGAACATGCGCTGAGAAGACGGAGTCGCAAAGTTCCTGCCAACCAACAGGCAATTTCAATTGCTTCGGGGCATAGTATCCTCCGCTGCTCGACAGTATTGCCAAGTAGAACATGTGCAGGCCGAGCACATCGCATTCTTCTCGCAGGAGGAGAGACGCATTGGCGTCTGCCAATCATGGTGGAACTTTGTTTCCTGCCTTAGTCCGGCACAACCCCTGGGAAAAAGAGAGCAAAGTACAGGTTGACAGATAGACGATCAAAGTTCTTTAAAGTCATTTAGAGTAGGTCTCGTTGTCCTCAAGCGTGCAGGTTAGAGAGCTGAAGGAGATCAATAAATCAAGCGGGAGGGGACCCTGAATGCCTGGAGCTTCAGGGCCAGTTCTTTCTGACTTCTGCGAGGAAGAGCGATATTGTAAATTACATATCACACTCCTCTGCGTCATTTGTTTCCCTAAAGAGCATGATTGCTTGCCTTGCACTATCTCGGTCTTGACGGAATTTTAGGGACGAGCCCATCCCGGGATGATTGCACTCACTTCAACCAACATCGACCTTCTCGAAACACACAGCGATCGAAGGAAACCTAGCTGTTGACGGGATTATTCATTAATGTGTACAATAGAATAGAAATCAGTACACAGAATCGTGTGGGGTATGAGACGTGCAGATATCGCCCTCAAGAGGAGGCAGTTCGTACACAAACATTGCCCAAGAGCATCCAACCTCTCCTACAGCTCTTTGCTAGGCACCTCCCCTTGACACATTCCACGGTCGCACCGCCCTCCATGTCCCCACATTCTTTCCCACACTTGCCGCAATTCTCGAAATCGGAAGCAAGGTCGACGCACTCCGCTTCTAACCCATGGACGTTTGGACAGAGTGTGTCGGTGTTGCGTCGGCATGCGGCTGGTCCGTTCACTGAGAGTTGTTGACGCGCACGTCTCCTCGAAGCTGGAGATGTGGATGACACACACGAGCCGTTCGAACCTTCGGCATTGCATGTGTACCCGCCTGCAAATGGTGTAAGGGAAGCTGTACTATCAACGTATATCAAGCGTACCGTTGGTATAACACGCAACGTTAAACTGGTTGTGGGAAAACGCAGCTTTCGTGTTACACGTCGCTCCGAGACCGCCGCATACTCCGTTGCCACAGTAGTCTGCGAGGCAGGAAGTCAGAAGGTGACCGAAATAGTCATGGAAGGACGAACCATAGCAGTTGTCTGATGTTGAACACGTGGCCCCGTTGTCACCGCAGAAGCCGTTCGGAGCACAGAACCCATTCGCATTGACCGTGCTGCCGCCGCTATTTAGGTACGACCCTGTCATGGAGCAGAATAGGTAAGCCGATGGAAGTGGTGTAGGAAGGAGGTTCACTTACAGCTGCATGCAGATCCTACTGTTGTGCATGGGGAACCCCCGACCTCCTGGAAGCCGCGCACCAGAGCGGCCAGTCCGACAATGACGATGAGAGATGTCAAGTGTTGTGCGAGCATTGTGGGTTAAATAAGATGTTTGGAGAGAAGTGCGATGTAGGGTTGGGTTGCCAGTTTCGACTGGCAGTTTGCCAGGTATTTATACATGAGCACCGTCCACTATGCCGCAGAAACGGTGTTGGATGTATTCTCCACATCCAAAACATCGCGCTTCATCCGACGCAGTTCCCCGCAAGATTCTACCAAAAGAATGACGCGGAGATACATCGATGTTCATCCGAGTCGTGGTGGTGAAGGAAGTGAACCCGAACCACAGTCGAAATTTAGACGCGCGACCGTGCATATATATAGCCTTCCCGCACTTTCGGAGCTATCTCGGAAGCGACTGTCTTCATCTATGACTCGATACAGCACTTCCGGAGCTGTGACGGAACGTACTTGCCACATATGCGAATCAAGATCTTTTCGAATACACGCAACAGAAATATTCCAGTATCCCAGACTGAAGACAGCCGCCACAGTTTCGGTCTCAAGTAACAAACACACGTCGGAAAGACACTTTTATCATCCTACTAGTAGGGGGTACTGTAGGTCTGCTTGAAGCACACATGTCTCAACCGGAAATAGGAAGATCCTCACATAGGTATGAGCGGGTGGAATCCTTTCTGCAATTCTCCATTCTTCAACGTACGGCGGGCTTGCGGACGGACAACTGGTGCCAAATAACAGGATTCGCATCATCGCTCGCTTCTACCTCGCAACGTATCTCATGTATCACGTGTTGCTCCGCAGGCTGGTGTATTCCGGTTGTTGATGATTGACGGGGAGAAATTTCGCTCAAAGACGGCATTCACGTGGGCATACTGGACCTGCTACCTGTTATGCCTGGGTGCAGTATTAGAGGCAATCTCAGAATACACTCGCCGACGGTCTCAAGGTTCAGATTGTGAGCAAAAGCTGTCACGAGGGCAATTGGAAAGCACACCCCTTTAGTACCACGAGAAGGACGAAGACAGGTTCCCGGGTGGCATCACTGCTCATAGGCAGCTTATTCAGTGGCAAGCGGATATAATCAAGGCTGAGAGTAAATGGATATCACTACAAAACACCGTGTATTGTACAGACGAAAAGTTCGACCTCGGTGGGGAACATGAGCAGTGAAGAAAGGGGAAAAAAAATACAACTCCGACATGCGGCGAGCAGGGATGTCGTTGTGCAGACAAAGCCCTCAGACCTGGGTAGCAGGGGTGATACTGCGGACACACTCGTCGTCCAACAGCGTCCAACCCCTCCTGCAGCTCATGGCCAAGCACTTGCCCTGCACGCATTCCACCACTGCACCACCCTCCATGCTTCCACATTCTATCCCGCATTGTCCGCAATTCTCGAAATCGCTCGCAAGGTCCACACACTCCATTTCCCCAGTCAGCCCACCCAGGCTCGGACAGAGCGAATCATTGTCTCGCCTGCATGACACGGGTCGAGGGCCCATAGAGAGCTGCTGGCGCGCACGCTTCCTCGCGGCCAAAGATGCAGACAACACGCACTGGCCAGTGCTGCCATCGGCGTTGCAAGTATAGCCACCTGAACGACTGTTAATAAGGGCATTTGGTTCGGACAGGAGAAGCATACCGTCAGTGTAGCATGCGATACTAAACTGATTATGCGAAAAAGCATCTGTGCTATCGCAAGTTGCACCGAGACCGCCACAAACTCCGTTCCCGCAATAGTCTACGATGCGGTGCATTAGTATAATCTCAGCACTCGAAAATAATGAGGCACGGACCATAACATTGATCGGATGTCGTGCACGCAGCACCGTTGTCGGCACAGAATCCATTTGGCGCGCAGAACCCGTTAACGGTGACGGTGTCGCCACCGCCGCTGACATAGCTGTCTGCAAGATTACATTAGGGAGAAAGTTCAAAATGAGTCTTGATATCATGAGGTTCCTCACAGCTGCATGCATTTCCGGTTCCTTCGCATGAAGGCCCAGGAACCTCGTTGAAAGCGAGAACCAGAGCCGTTAAACCAAAAAGGACAATGAAAGACCCGGACTGTGATGTGAACATTATGAACTTGAGCAGGCCTGTGTTTGAATGGGAGTGTGATACCGGATACCAGAAGTTCACAGTCTACTTATACCTGACTACTAATCAGGAGTACTTCTCCGTAAACACAACATCGCGCTCTGAGAACGCCTCCAAGCCCAGAAATCCAGACGTGGCTCCAGAAGAATAACATGGAGACGGTTGCATCGACCTGCCTGCAAGGCGTTGCAATGCGTGAACGGACCATCCAATTGAGTTTCAAGCACGATTCCGACACGGAATGGGACGTTTTAGAGTTTGAATCCGACCGACCCTCCGACCTTCGGATGGAAGCGGAGATATTTGACGCGCTATTTCGGATTCACAAGCCACCGTTGTGGTGCAAGGATCCCCGATGACTCGAGATAGACACCTACGCAGATGTGATGGAACCCGACTGTGGTTTGCGGGTAGCAACTTCGACGATCGTGAGCCACAAAGGCGACATCGCCCAAATTCCAGAGGCTCAGGCGAACTTGCGTCCTTGGTACACCAAAACACAAGTCAAGCTGAATTGCCTAGAAGCCACATTTCTTTGCTGCTCACACTCACTGTGCCATACTATTGGCTAGAATATTTCCCTGAACTACGTCATTCCATTAGTTGAATGGGGGTAAATGAAGACTTGCTAACGTCGGATCCAGCAGATCACGCTGCATCGATCTAGCGAGAAGGTAAGCAAGCACAACGATACAATCAGTCGAGGAAGGGAAAACAAACTAGCCAGGCTTGGCAGGGTCTGGACCCCGAAACCGAAGAGATGCTCCACTCACGTGACCCAGTCCCAAACTCTTTCTCTCATTTCCCTCCATCGCTGAACTGGCTGTCCTCAAGCATCACCCAACCCATGTTGTCACTTCAATCCCTTCTTCTGATTGGATCTTGATATCCGAGGATGAAAATAAACTCCTCCCGGGGGGCACCATACCACACCGAACACTGTACCAAGAGAATCACCGCATGTGGATGAGCGGTGTTTTGCCTTTGTGGCGAAGATCCCATGGTCACGTGTTAGTGGCAGTGTGGTTTTCCTGGTGAATCTGACCCCGTGATCGGCATGTGGCAGTGCAAGAACATTTATGACGTCACCCGGCGCTCTGTTCCGATCCGTAGCGAAACTCTCTGTTAGCCCACGATATATGCGCCCATGGACAAGATGGCTGTTGGGAGCACATTACATCAATTCATCTTTCTCCTGTTCACGACACTTTACGAACACTAGATATCCCTTAGACATCTGCTTACCACCACCATGCCCTTGCCTCGCAGACTGTCCAAGGTCAGGATTCATTTCCATCCATCTTGGGTACCCGTCATCCCTATCATCGCTTGGTTTGTCACCTTATGGGCTCTCCTCGGCTGGTGGTTGAACTCAGGTCGTCCAAAACTGCCTTCAATGGAGGAATCAATCGCATACATCTCCGATATTGGTGCGACATTCCTCAAGCCTCTCTTCATTGTCGGATGTATCATCACCGGCCTGGGGTTCTTTGCCACCTTGCTCGTCGATGCTCTTTTGAGGCGAGCGGGTATTCTCGAAAGGGCAGGGAGAAGACGAGTCAGGTGGATAAGCTATGCAAGCATTGCAAGCTCCGCTGTAGGAGCAATAGGTGAGTCATCCTCTTTCCTGCCGCACCCGCTGACTCCCGTAGGTCTCATCTTCCTCTCCGGGTTTGATACCCTCCGCTGCCCAACAGAACATGATGCCTTCCTTCTCGTCTTTATGGTCGGTGTCATCTTCAGCGCCATCTTCACCATCCTGGAGTACGCCTTCCTCCTCCGTTCCCCACAAGTGCACCGTACACGCCTCCTCGAAGCCTCGTTCTACGGAAAGATCCTCGTCTTCCTCGTCGAACTCGGCCTTGCGATCGCGTTCGGAATATGTCTCAATACCAACAACCTCTACAACACCGGGGCGATCATCGAGTGGATCGTAGCGTTTGTCTTCGAGTTCTACCTGGTGACGTTCTGGATGGACCTGCATCCTGCAAACGCGGTCATCGAGAGGGAATGCGGGGATGTCGAGGCGAGGGTGGTAGATCCGACCATGACGGGAACGGCAGGTGCTGGGAGGACGCTCGTAGCACCGAGGTTCTCGCATCCGCGGGGCATTGGAGCACCGGCTGTAACTGCTGCGCCTGCTGGTGCACCACCGATGGCATCTGTCGCGCCAGCGCCAGCACATGCAAATGCAACTACTTTACAGGCCGATGGAGTACCGTCTTATCCTACACCTACGGCTACGATACCCGCGCGTTCCGCAGGGACGTTAGAACCTCCAAGGGTGACGATTCCCCGCCTGGCTGCTCACAAACCAGCACAGGCGGCAATCCCTGTGCGCGCATGAGACGGAGAAGAACTATTCTATCATATCAAACATATAATACACGCATCTACATCAACAGTTTGTAGCCCTAGTATAGTAGACGGATCGTGGATGGATGGGAAGATAGTGTTGGGGGATTCTTATACGCTGACGCATGGAAAGCCGATAGTGCGAGGTTCGATTTCACGGGCATTTGCCTCCTTTTTCGCGCGCCACGCATCGGACCCCAATTTGTAGTAAAAAAAAAGGGATGATAATTATGTAAGAGCACCTAACCCGAAGTAACCCTAACCTGAATAGTTTATGAACCTTAACCTGAAAATGATATAACCTTAAATAATAAAAACATCAGTAGCAGTAATAGTAATAGTAATAGTAATAGTAATAGTAATAGTAATAGTAATAGTAATAGTAATAGTAATAGTAATAGTAATAGTAATAGTAATAGTAATAGTAATAGTAATAGTAATAGTAATAGTAATAGTAATAGTAATAGTAATAGTAATAGTAATAGTAATAGTAATAGTAATAGTAATAGTAATAGTAATAGTAATAGTAATAGTAATGGTAACACTGAGTCTCACAAAGAAAGAAATGATGGTAGCATTAGTAATGTCAGGGCACACCATCAAGTGGAGGCTGAACACAAAGATTTCAGGTGAAGCTGCAACCTATTGGGGTGACCTGACTGCTGAACAACCACTACTCACCCAATAGCTCAACATCAGACCTCTCAGAGGTCTTTGAACATCTGCTTTGGGATCTCTCATGGTATTGGCCCTGTTGGCCACTGTGAGGGTGACACAGTCTAGGAGCTAGCAATGACTATATGAGTG